ACAGCCCATCTGGGAGTCATGATGTGAACCAGGGTGGCTTTGATCTTGAAGAGATCCCCCCTGCCTCCGGAGGGTTCAGATTAAAGGTGCATACCACCACACCTGGCATTCCTATTCTCAGTTTTAATAAAAGGACCAGACCTGGCCTAGGAGGGCTTGGGGGCATGGGAGCGTCAGGCAGGGCACACCTCAGAGATCACTCATGAGAGCTGGAAGCACAGCCACCAGTGTGGTGGGCACAGCTGTGAATTGTACTCCTGTTCCCCCTCTTGACTTTATCTCTCTCTGTTAGCCAGGCTCCCCTGGAACTCCTTCCTCAGTTTCCCTGTTGCCAGGCTTGCAGGCATGCACTGTCACCCTGGGCTGTGTCCTGACACCAAAACTATGATTTTCAAACTGAGACCTTTCTGCCAGCGGCACACGTTTTGCAGCTGGACGTTAAATCCGATTCATGTTGTGGGTGCCCGACAAATCAGCATCTCACTGTGGGATCGTTGTCCTGCCAGGTTAAAAATAAGAAGCTGGTTGAGCTACTGAGAAGGAAAGTCCGTCTGGCCCAGCCCTATGTGGGAGTCTTTCTAAAGAAGGATGACAAGTGAGTCTTCCCTCCTGAAGCCACTTCACAGAAAAGGTGACTGTTCACCTTGAGCTCAAAGGGACCAAGGACAAGGTCATCAGCCCAGTGCGTTGCCATCTTAGACTATGCCAAGGTCTTCGCTTGCCACTCTCAGCTCCAGACTCAGTGTATTCATTGGAGGTGTGGCTGCTGGGTCTCTAGAGTGACAGCCTAGAATCCCTCAGTGAGGAACCCTCTCCTGGCCTGGGGGCCTCCCAGCATTCTGCCCAGCACTGTACTGTAGACAACATGTTATTTACTGTATTGTCCGGGTGGGGAGGTGAACTGGAGGCCTCAAGTGAATGTGAGGCAGCCCCCAGCTGTTCTGCATTCCACACAGTACTCAGGCTCCCAGCAGGCTCTGTGCAGCAGAGAGGAGGTCAACCAAGGTCCCATGAGGCCCCTGTTGTGGCTCAGCAGGTATCTGCCCACTGTGTGCTGTCACTGAGGCCAGCTGTGCTGGGCTAGCAGCCTCTCCCTCAGGTCTCCTTGTCCCACAGGAGAGCAGGCCTGTGCCCTGGTATGTGGCAGTGACCTATAAAGCGCTGCTTCTCTCTCTCTCCTCTCAACCAGAGACCCCCCCCCGCCCCCCGCCATAACGCAACAGCAGCCAACATGCCTTTGTGTCTGTCTCCTCAGCAATGAGTCAGACGTGGTAGAGAGCCTGGACGAGATCTACCACACGGGGACTTTCGCCCAGATCCACGAGATGCAGGACCTTGGGGACAAACTACGCATGATCCTCACAGGCCACAGAAGGTGTGGGGTAAAGCTGGGTGTGCTAAGGCTGAGACACAGGGTCTGGATGGCAGTGCCTGCCACCTGTAGACATTAGTGGCTCCATACATGGCCCTGTGTGTACCAGCAGCACCCATGGAAGTGGCCATGGCTCTGTCAGCCTTGGCCCTGTCTGCTGTGCTGAGGTACAGCTCGGGCCCTTTGCACAACCCAGGTGAGCCTGTTCACCAGTGAGCTCTGCCCCCAGCCCCAACTCCGGAGTCTTTAACATCACATAGCAGCATTGATGTGTTCTCTGGAAATTGCTTGTGAGGTTTAGTTTGGGTTTTCTATGTTGAACCTGGCCAGGGCCAGCAGTGTTTCTGTTCTCCGTTTGCTGGGCAGTTGATGCCACTGTAGTCACCAGGGAGACAGTGCTTTGTTGCCAAACTACAACATTTGTGGCCGTTTTCTAGTTTGTTTTGTTGAGTTTTTTGTTTTTATTTTGCCTCTTTAGACAGGGTCTCCTTGTACCCCAGCTGGCCTGGAACTTGCTATGTAGACCAGGCTGGCCTTGATTTTGCAGAGATCCCCCTGCCTTTGCCTCCCAAGTGCTGGGATTAAAGGCGTGCACCACCACTCCTAGCCCATTTAATTTTTTGGAGGGGGTGGTGTGTGTCTTTTTTGAGATAAGATCTCCCTGTAGCCCCAGCTGTCCTGGAACTTACTATGTAGACCACTTGCCTCTGCCTCCCAAATGCTGGGATTAAAGGTGTGTGCTACCACACCTGGCCCATTTAAGTTTTTTTAAACTTATTTCTTGATTGATTTATTTTTATTTCATGTGTATGAGTGTTTTGCCTGCATGTATGTGAGTGTACCCATGTTGTACAATGCCCAAGGAGGCCAGAAGAGGGTATTGAATCCCCTGGAAGTGGAGTTAGGGGCAGTCGTTAGCTGCTGTGTAGGTGCTGGGAACTGAACCCTGGTTCTCAGCAAGAACAGCTAGTGCTCTTAACTGCTGAGCCACCTCTCCAGCCCATTTATTTATTTATTTATTATTTATTTATTTATTTATTTATTTATTTATTTGTGTGTGGTGTGTGTGCACGTGTGGAGGTCAAAGGACAAGTTGGGGGTAGTGAGCTCTGCCCACTGTGTGGATCTTAGGACTCAACTCTATCCTGCTTGGTAGCAAGGGTCTTTACCATTTAGCCCTCTCTGTAACCCCCTCTCCTGAACCTTGTCACCTGTAGATGACTTCTAAACCTGATACAGTGTAACATTTTGCATAGAACTGTTCTAACTCCTCCTTTAGGGAACAGAGAGAAAAATGTCCACAGGTGTCAGTGTGTGTCTCCCTCAGTCCTGGAAGGCAGAGAGCAGAGGTAGAGGCCAACTGACTTAGAGTGAGGAAGGCCTCTGTTCAGGGTCAGGGGTGGAACAGGAGTATTGAACAGGCCAGTGCTTAGCTATCCTGGGTGTTCTGTGAGGCCTTGGGGCCTTTACCACAGCAATTCTAGGAGGCAGCTGGGGTGTTTGCGGGGGTGGTCTTGTGGAAGAGGAGGCAATGGTCATGGGGTATGAGGACCCAGTGACCTCCCAGCCTTAGTGGCTGCAGACCCTAGGGCCCTGGGACTTTTGCATGTGCTGGTAGCTCAGCTGTATCCACCTGCCCTATCCATCCCCAGGATCCATATTAGCCGGCAGCTGGAGGTGGAGCCTGAGGAGGAGCCTGAGAACAAGCAGAAGACTCGGAGAAAGCCAAAGCGGGGCAGGAAGGAGACAGAAGAGGAGCTGGGCGTCAAGCCCCAGCCTGAGGGGGTGGCTGGGCCCCCCACATCCACCAGGGAGGTGCTAATGGTGGAGGTGGAGAACATTGTCCATGAAGACTTCCAGGTCACTGAAGAGGTCAAAGTAAGTGGAGTGCCCTGTCTGCAGGGTACCCTCAACATGCCCCAGGACCTCACAGAGAGCCACCTGTCAGGCCCAGCTCTCATTCGTGGAAAGAGCACAGAATCCTGGTAGGAGCTTGGGTGGGCAGCACTGGGCCCTCTGCTCCTCCAGGAGGAGGCAGGACTTGAACCCAATTCTGCACCAGCACATGACTGCTGCACAGGCCTCTAGCTTTCTCCAGAGCGCTTGTCCCTGTGCCTCCCTCACTGCCACCCTGACCCCAAACTTAGGCAGTCCTTCCTTCAAGGCATAAGCAGGCCTGTGGACAGGGATAGTTAGCAAAGCTAATGAATCCTGGGGTGTGTCCTGTGGGTGTGGGGCACGAACCTCCACTGGGGGCTATGGGAGGGGCCAGGCCTCTAGGCTGCTGTTGAGCCCTGTGGAAGGAGTGCTGGGATCCATTGGTGATGTCTGCTCAGGGCGCTGGAACCTTTGCCTGTAGCCTAACCGGGCTGCAGGAGGCCCCGGAGTCATTCTGTTTAAAGTAACACTCCTGCAGCAGCCTTCCTGTGTTGGGCTCACAGTACGGAAGGCCTGGGGCTGAACTCAGTGGCTTTGAGAGAAGGCTGGAGCCCCCTAAGATACTGGACTGGGTAGGTGGGGGCCATCCCTGTCCCTTCTGCAACATGGACTCAGTCGGGGACAAAGCCAGTGACTGGACACCAGGCTGGGAGGTTGTCCTGCTGGCAGTGGTAGCACATGCTTGCAGTCCCAACACTGCAGAGGCTGAGGCAGGAGGATTGCTGGACTTGGAGGCCTGGGCTGTATTGTGACGTCCTCCCTGAAAAAACAATGAAAACAGAAACCCAGAAAGACATGGAAAGTGGAAAGCATCCCTGCCCTCCCCATGGAAAGTGATTGTTCTAGGCACAGGCTCCCAGTGGCCTTGGGACTCACTTTGGTTTTATTTCCCTTTTTTCATGTTTGTTTGTGTGTGTTGAGTGTGGTGCAGGAGTGCCTTCTCTCCTGCCATGTGAGATCCAGGGATGGATCACCAGGCTTGGTAACAAGCCCCTTCACTCACTGAGCCCTCTCGCCACCCTTGGTTTTAGTTTTTACTCCAAGTTCTTGTTGCTGATGAACTTGGGTTCCTCTCTGTGGTCCCTAAGTCTGTCTTCAGCCAGGGCTGGGTGGGTGAGAGGTGAGTGCTCCCCCTCAGTGGCCGTGTCTGCCTCTGGTCGGGCTACCAGGCCTCCTGACTGTTCTGGTCCCTGCTTGCCAGGCCCTGACCGCAGAGATCGTGAAGACCATCCGTGACATCATTGCCTTGAACCCTCTATATAGGTGAGTGGGGGGCTGGCAGGGAACAAGCCCACACTGCTGAGGACTTGGGCGTCCCTGCATGCGAAGGAACAGCACTGAGGTTTGTGATCCATCCACAGAGAGTCAGTGCTGCAGATGATGCAGGCTGGCCAACGTGTGGTGGACAACCCCATCTACCTGAGTGACATGGGCGCCGCTCTGACAGGCGCTGAGTCGCATGAGCTGCAGGATGTGTTGGAGGAGACCAATGTGAGTGGCTGACCCAGTCCACTGGGTATCTAGCGTCTGGGGATGTCTGCTGTGGGCCCAGCCGGCAGTGTACTGATCCTTGTGGTGCTATACAGTCAGCAGGTCCTGGGCAGATCCACAGTGAGGTGGTGATGCCAGCCTTACTTTCCCCTAGCCATGCTGGGTTTCCAGGTTGGTCTATGGGAGTGGATGTGAGGTGCATAGGTTTGGTGGGGCATGGTCACTTGTTGTGTGTGCTGGTGCACTGTGTGACTTAGGGGTCCCTGCTGAATGTCCCCAGCACACTCTGGTTCCTGCAGATCCTGAAGCGTCTCTATAAGGCCCTGTCGCTCCTGAAGAAGGAGTTTGAGCTGAGCAAGCTGCAACAGCGCCTGGGCCGTGAGGTGAGCGGGGAAGGCCACATGCCAAGTCTTTTGCTGTGTTGGCCAGGCTGACTTAGACAGAGCTCCTGCACTTGAGCAGTGCCCTGTGGGAACTCTGCCTCTGGAGCCTGGGACAGGAGCTAGGAGTTACATTTTGCTGTAGCAGAAATGCCCAGACCAGGCTCAGTGGGCAGAACGCTCATCCCCAGCATCCCAGAAACCAGGCGTAGTGGTACATGCCTGTCATCTCAGCACTGGACAGGTGGAGGCATGAGGATCTGGAATTCAGGATCATCCTCGGCCACACAGTGATAGAGGACAGCCAGGGCTATATGAAACCCTGCCTCAAAATCAGAAACAATAGAGCACAGGTCTACATCTTGCATGTAACTGGGGAGCTTGGTGATTTTTGTGGCCAAGAAAGCAGCTCTCAGCCTGTCACCAGAGCAGCCATCCTCCAGTGGCAGGCACTGGGTGGAGGCAGCTCAGCTGCACCAGGCCAGTTCATCCCCAGACACAGACTTAGGGTATGTGTCTCATTTCTGGTGTGAGCCCCATGGCCCAGGGCCTTGGTGCAGGGTTGAGCCCTCCCTCCAGTCGTGGCCGCCCACCCTCAGGTGGAGGAGAAGATCAAGCAGACACACCGCAAGTACCTGCTGCAGGAGCAGCTGAAAATCATCAAGAAGGAGCTGGGGCTGGAGAAGGAGGACAAGGACGCCATCGAGGACAAGTTCCGGGAACGCCTGCGCACGCTGGTGGTGCCCAAGCATGTGATGGATGTGGTAGATGAGGAGCTAAGTAAGCTGGCCCTGCTGGACAACCACTCCTCTGAGTTCAAGTGAGTCCCTGGGGCTCTGACCGTCACCTCAATCGCTGTGCTCCGCCACAGAGTCAGGGCTGTGGCCCTGGCTGTGTCCCCTGTGAGTCAGGAGACTGCTTTGGAGTTGCGGCTGCTCTGTGTCCTGCATGGGGACATGAACCACTGTCAAACTGTCTGCTGCCTGAGATGGCCCAGGATGGCCCAGGAAGCAGGCATTAGGCAGGTGGGCCCCAGGCTGCAGCCTACTGTGTTCTGGCGGCTGCACCATAATGTCTGTTCTGCTGCTGTGCGAGGCCACTGGACTCTGTCTCCAGGCCCCCATTCTGTTCTCCACAAGGCCCTGGGCACTGCCTCCCTCTTGGGACCACTATTACACTGGCGTGTGTGGTCCAGGCTAGCCTGTGTCCCATTTCTTTGTGTAAGTCTCTCCTGTAGCCTCTCGGGACCAGCATGGTGTTCTCCAGGCTCCATTCTGCCCCTTGCAGGCGACTGCACTGGCCATTGAGTGGCTCTCCTGTCACACTGAAGGCTGACTGTCCTTGAAGTCCTGGCCTGGGGCCTTGCTGTGTTCCTAGTGCACCCTTCATTTTCGTGGGTGAGCAGGCCTCAGGGCCTGCTGCTGACCTAACTTCCCTCAGTGGCAGCTTCTGTCAGAGAAAGTTCTCTGGCCCAGGGGTCAGCCAGGGTAGCCATCAGCAGACCTGACCTGTTTTCCCATTGAGCCAGACCCAGCTTTGGTGCTGTTGACTCAATTGAGAGCATCATGCCTGTGTTCCTGTGTTTAGCAGTAGCCACCAGCCCCTATTCATGCTCTGTCCCCACAGCGTCACACGCAACTACTTGGACTGGCTGACATCCATTCCGTGGGGCAGATACAGCAATGAGAACCTGGACCTGGCGCGGGCACAGGCGGTGCTGGAGGAGGACCACTACGGCATGGAGGATGTGAAGAAGCGCATCCTGGTGAGCCCTGGCTGTTGCCCAGGGTGACTACCTCACTGCGTCCTTCTGTGAGGCTGCTACTACCATCCAGAGCCCCCATGTCCTGGTACCTCCAGGGCCATCCCCTCAGCACAGCCAAAGAGGGAGTTTGGGGATGGACTAAAGCCTCTTCCTGCCCACCTGCTGCTGTCAGAGCAGCCTGGGTGACCACTCAGAGCACCCAAGCCCTAAGGTAGTTATTGTGTCAATGGTAGGTGTCCTGGTGGATCTGGATTGGTGGGAGCCACTGATGTTATCATGGCGTGTCCCTAGGCCCTGCCAGCCTGCCATCCACCAAGCTCTCAGTGTGCCAGTGGGTGCTGCTGCCTGGACAGCAACCCTAGAAGGGGCTGCTGATGTGGCTGTGCTGCCTCAGTGGGCCCTGCACTGTGGACACTGTACACTCTAGCCTGCCTTGCATCCCCTGGGGGGCCAGTAAGGCCCCTGGCATCAGAAAGCCTTGTCGCACTGAGTTGTCTGGCTCTCTGCAGGAGTTCATCGCAGTCAGCCAGCTCCGAGGCTCCACACAGGGCAAGATCCTCTGCTTCTACGGGCCACCTGGCGTGGGCAAGACCAGCATCGCACGCTCCATCGCACGAGCACTCAACCGCGAGTACTTCCGCTTCAGCGTTGGGGGCATGACGGACGTGGCGGAGATCAAGGGCCACAGGTTGGAGCCTGGGCCTGGCACCACCTTGCGGTTCTTTGGGCCCTTGTGGATGCAGGCTCTCAGCCCTATGAGAGTGTGCCCGCCTGTCCTCCACATCCCTGCTGCAGGGTCGTGTGTGCTGGACATGTGTATAGTGGTACCATCTTGCCTCCAAAGCAAGCATGCTGAGAGCGGGGGATCACCTGTCCACTCCAACCTGTGGGAGGGTGGAGGCGAGCATGGAGGTACACTCCTGTCACCCCAGCAGCCCATGATAGGCTGAGCAGGATGGCCACTGGTTTGAGGCCAGCCTGGACAGAAACAGTGCTGTTTACCCACCCTAAGCACACAGCCAGTGTGGGACCTGGGTTCCGCTGCTCCTGGTGGCCCAGGTGTGAGAGGCAGTGTAGCCTGAGCCAGGGAGGTGATGGCTCTGGGATGGGTGGCTGTAGGACAGCCAGGGGGAGCCCAGCAAGCTGGGGTCTGAGGGACAGGACAGGTTAGCATAGCAGTGGTCCTTTCTAGGCCTGTGGCTGTGCCCCGGCCCCTGATGTGGGACAAAGCCCACTTGCGTGAGCAGAGGCCTGGGCAGCGTCTCTGATCTGGGAGAAGTCAAGGTAAAGCTCATAGTGGGCAGGGCAGGTCCACCCTGCCCTCTGAGCTAAGGTCAGTGGGACTTCCTAAGAGGGCGAAGGGCTGGAAACTGGCTGGGACAGAATGGAGATGCACCTGTCATCACAGTGCTCAGGAAGTTGAAGGTCATCGTCAGCTACATAGCAAGGTTATGGGCTGCATGAAACTGGTCTTTAAAACATGAAAAAGCAGAGAGGGCTTGGCACTCGGAGGCAGAGGCAGCTGGAGCTTCAGGGAGACCCTGTCAAAAAGGGGAAAAGAACCTTGTCAGCAAAACCCCCTCTGCCGTCATACCTTGCATGGCTCCCTCTGCCATTGGGAGCAAAGCCCAACCTGTAGCCCATGGGGCCTTTACATGGCTCTGTAGCTCACCTCACCTCCCCTCCTCACTGCCCCTCCGTCCTGCCCCAGGGCCTTTTCACAGCTGTGTCCTTTGCCTGTGATGCTGTCCACTACCCACATGGCTCCCTGCTTGGCTTGTTTGCTTTGTGTCTCCTGAAGATACCCTGGGGTGTCACCCCAGACACCCCCACTCCCCTCCTGAGCACAGGTGGGGTTCTCCCTTTGTAATTAACTCTGCTGTCTTGTGGCCGGTTACCCTGCCCAGTCCTAGAGCCAGAACTCAGGACTCACCCTGAGCTGTGCTCCCCTGCCCACTGCAAGGCCCCCTCAGTGTGGTCAGTGGGTCTGGCTGTGTCTGCTGCCCCTTCCTGAAGCCCCACCCTAGTCTCCTTGCCCCTCCCATGGGAAAGTACACTGGATTTTACAGTTTGGGAGGGAGTGCAGCTGTTAGCAGGCTCCTAGCTGACCTGGTGTTGCCCAGCTCTAGATGGCATTGGGCAACCTGCTCAGTGTTTACAGCCCTGTTGTCATGTTGTGTGCACTTCTGGGTTAGGGGGTCAGATCATGGTGGGTCACTGACTTGTGCACTGGCAGTGGACTGGGGTGCCATCCCTGGCTTCCATAACCTCACTGGGTGCTAATCTCACTGGGCACTGTGTCCCACAGGCGCACCTACGTGGGGGCCATGCCCGGGAAGATCATCCAGTGTCTGAAGAAGACAAAGACTGAGAACCCGCTAGTGCTGATCGATGAGGTAAGGGTGGACCCTGGACAGGGAGGGATCCTGGCCACACACGTGCCTGGGGTCAGGCATGGCCCACGCCATCCACTTTTACTCCCCAGGTGGACAAGATTGGTCGTGGCTACCAGGGCGACCCATCTTCGGCACTGCTGGAGCTGCTAGATCCAGAGCAGAATGCCAATTTCCTGGATCACTACCTAGATGTGCCAGTGGACCTGTCCAAGGTGAGTGCACTGCTGCAGGGTGGGGGTTGGGGTGGGGTGGGGAGGGTGGCTGCCAGGGAGGGTTGGGAAGAGTGCAGCTGCCTCCAGCACCCCTTGTCCTCAGGTGCTGTTCATCTGCACAGCCAATGTCACTGACACCATCCCCGAGCCACTGAGGGACCGAATGGAGATGATCAATGTGTCTGGCTATGTGGCACAGGAGAAGCTGGCCATTGCTGAGGTGAGCAGGGCTGACCAATGCTGTTGGGGAGAGGGAGCTGCAGGGGCATTGGAGATCCAGGTCTCAGAGCAGGTGTGGGCAGCACTGTGTGGTGGGTGCTCCCCATGCAGGGACAGGGCCTGTGGGTGTCCTAGATAGACACTGGGCAGAGGTGTCATGGTAAGGGACAGCCTGGTGGGACCATTTGGGGTGCTGTGCTCCACATGGCACTGTGATCCCTCCTGAGCCCTTGTGGCCAGGGCTGCTGTGTCTGCTGGGGCCTGAGTGCCTCCCTGTTTTTCAGAGCTGATGTGAGGGCAAGAGGGGCTTAGAACCCTGGACTGTGGGAGTTGTACCTACTGTGGTGTTCCATGACTGTACCCCCGCTCTCTGCATGCTCCGATACATGTTGGAACAGTGATGGTGGCTGGGCTGTGGGGGCACCTGGGGCCTCTGCTGCTATGACAGGTTCTGTGGGGGTGGGAGGTCACCCAGGAAGGGCAGTGCTGTGTGTCCAGTGCTGGGTCCTGTTTGCCCAGTGTGCAATGACACCTGCTGCCAGGCCATCAGGCAGTTCTAAGCCAGGCTGTTCCTGGGAGGACTTGGGGTATGGGTGACCCTGAGGCTCCTGCCCTGACTCTGGCTCCTCTGCAGCGCTACCTGGTACCACAGGCCCGGGTGCTATGTGGCCTGGACGAGAGCAAAGCAAGGCTATCGGCTGATGTGCTCACACTGCTCATCAAACAGTACTGCCGTGAGAGTGGGGTGCGCAACCTGCAGAAGCAGGTGGAAAAGGTGGGCCGCCCACAGCACTTAGGACATGACCGCCTCCCCTGGCTGCTCCACCTCCCCAGGCCACATGCCCTTCTGGCTTAGCTCCTTTTGTCATCCTCACCTGGCTGCCTCTGGTCCTGCCCCTCACCTCTTTCCTTGGCCCTGTCCCCACCTGTTCTGGCCCCACCCCCAGGTGCTGCGGAAGGCTGCCTACAAGATTGTAAGTGGGGAGGTGGACACAGTGTGGGTGACGCCAGAGAACCTGCAGGACTTTGTGGGGAAGCCTGTGTTCACTGTGGAGCGCATGTACGATGTGACACCACCTGGTGTTGTCATGGGCCTGGCCTGGACCGCCATGGGTGAGCTCTGGGACCTGCATGCACCACATTCGCTCCACCAGGTCTCAGGAAAACTCAGCATCCTGCACAGTGGGCTGAGCTGGGCTATGTGGTCTTCCTCATATACGTGGGCGTAGCTGAGGGCCACACTGTTCCCATAGCTGAGTGGTACACATAAGTCTGGGCTGATAAGCCAACCCAAGCCCCATGCACCCTGCAGGGCCCAGGAGGGGGAGTGAACACCCCAGGAGTGGTGTGAAAATCCAGAGATGGTGGGCTTCCACATCCATGGCCTTTTCCTCCCTATCCTTCTAGGAGGCTCCACACTGTTTGTGGAGACATCCCTTAGGCGGCCACCACAGAGAGACGGCAGGGAGGACAAGGATGGCAGCCTGGAAGTGACTGGCCAGCTGGGGGAGGTGATGAAGGAGAGCGCCCGTATTGCCTACACCTTTGCCCGTGCCTTCCTCATGCAGAGGGACCCTGAAAATGACTTCCTGCTAACCTCACATCTCCACCTCCACGTGCCAGAGGTCAGCCCCAGACTGTCACCTTTTTTCCCCATACATCACACACCCACTCACACTCCCTTCCTCTGTGCAGGGCGCTACCCCAAAGGATGGCCCCAGTGCAGGCTGTACGATTGTCACTGCACTGCTGTCCCTGGCTCTGGGGCGGCCAGTGCTGCAGAACCTGGCCATGACTGGTGAGGTCTCCCTCACTGGCAAGGTGCTGCCTGTGGGTGGCATCAAGGAAAAGACCATTGCGGTAAGTGTCCTGCCCCTGCAGGCCTGCTGATAAGAGCAGACCCAACCTTGGCTTTGTCCACAATGGGTGCCACTGGCCTCCAAGTTGCCAGGCAGCAGGTCCTGCTTTACTCCCAGCTGATTGATCCCCTCCTCATGCAGGCCAAGCGAGCAGGCATAACGTGCATCATCCTACCTGCTGAGAACAGGAAGGACTTCTCAGACTTGGCGCCCTTCATCACGGAGGGCCTGGATGTGCACTTTGTGGCGCACTACCAAGACATCTTCCGCATCGCATTTCCTCTGCATGAGCAGGAGCCTGCAGCACTGGCTGTGGAGCGGTGATGCCCAGCTGTGGGGTTGGTGAGGAGCCCAGGGACCTGACTATAAAATCATGGTATGGCAAAGAGCCATGAGCTGCTTGTAGGATCATGAATAAAATGAACGTTTGCAATTGTGTGGTACATGTCATCCTGTAAGTACCCTGCACCCCACAGAGCAGCAGCCAGGACTAGGGTTTTCTGAAAGATTTATTGAGGGGACAGGAAGTGGGCTCTAGGCTTAGTCCTTTTTGGCTGCAGCTTTCCTCAGGGCCGCCAGCACGTTGCTCAGCTCCTCCCGCTTCCTTTTGGCACGGATGTGTGTCCCCACCTGTCAGGACAGACAGTGTCAGCCAAGGGACCACCACTACACGCAGGTTAGCATCCATCTCAGAGATCCACCTGCCTCTGCTGGGATTAAAGGCTGTACAAGACTCGGCACCTACCCTCTTCTTGATGAACTTCAGTGCCCGCTTGTCCTTAGACACCTTGAGCAGTTCCATGGCACGCCGCTCATAGGGCGCAAAGCCACACACCTCCCTGATCATGTCCCGCACAAACTTGGTGTGCTTGGTGAGGCGCTGAAGAACAAGGGGCAACGAGCATCACGACGGTGTTCCCTGCCAGCCTAGTTAAATCCTCAGGCCCCCAGTGTGCTAAATTTCCCCACATGGGGGGTGGCTGGAGGGATGACAGGTCTGGGGAATATGACCCAGATGCAATGTACAGATCCTTGGCCCAGAGCTCCTGGACTAGAGACAGCTTACCACGCCACGCTGGATTCTGGACTAATCTCGCACAGGAGATCCCATGCATATGGTCAGACACTGAGCCATGCGCTAACACCCTGGTATTGTGCTTCTGCAGACCTGCACTTCCTGGTGGGGGGGGGAGCTGATGCCCATCTCCCACTTAGAGCTTAGCACTCTTTTTTCCTTTGGTCATTTAAAACTTATTATATGTGTATGCGTGCATTGCCTGCGTGTAGGTAAGTGCACCCGTGTCGTGCAATGCCGGTGGAGATCAGAAAAGACTGTCAGATCCCCTGGGACCGGAGTTCTGGACAGCTGTTGGCGGCCACGTGGGTGCTGGGATTTGAACCCAAGTCTTCTGCAAGAACAGCCGGTGTTCTGAACCGATGAGCCATCTCTCCAGCCCCTTTTTCTGGTCTTTTTGAAACAGGGTCTCCCTGACGCCCCAGCTGGTCTGGAACTCACTATGTAAGCCAGCTGGCCTTGAACTCACAGAGATCCGCCTGCCTCTGTGTCCCAAGTGCTGGGACTACAGGGTGTGCGCCACCATGCCAGGCTGAGCACCCATCTTTGACTCCGCACCTTTAACAGTCTTGAGTCTGTGTTAACCTACTGCAGGGAAACTAACTTATATGGGAGTTGAGGGATGCCCCGAACTATAAGCGTGAGGGCATTTCATTACAATGACAGGCGGTCGCTGAGCTTGGAGCCAGCTCAGGGTCCCAGGCATGACTTCCAGCATAAGACTCCGGGAAGTTGGGACAGAGCGGTGTCCTCAAGTCTTCCTGCGCCTCGAAACCCCAACCGGGGCGCATGAACCCTGCCACGCGCCCAGCACAAGCATTATCTGTCCCCTTCCACCACCGCCCACCTCAGACCATCTGGACCCACTACGCATGCGGTAGACACCTCTTTCGTCCGCAGGCAGGATCACAGCGTGGACTACCCCACATGACGCCCGCACTCACCCCGCGCCGCCGGCTGTGCCTCGGCTTGCTCACGTTCTTCGTCACTTTGTGGCCCTTGTTGAGGCCCACAGCCATGGGGTAGCGCAGAGCCATAGCTGCGGACGCAAAGCGATGGTCAGACCGCGCTCAGACCCCGTGTCCTAGCTCCCTCTCACCCCACCCGCGGGTCCCGATTCCCTCCGACCCGACGGCCCGGGAACCCCGATGGCGATGGATACGGCCGAGACCAAAGCTTACCTGCAGCTGTCCGATGGCCGCCGCGACAGGAAAGACGGCGCCGCAAGGAACGCTGGGATATCTAGGACCCGCCTGTGGCTCTGGCTAAAGAGGCAGGAGCGCCGCGCGCGCCCCCTGGCGGCCGGAGGCTCAGGCGCGCTCTGTGCACGCGTGGCTGGGCGAGCCTGCACACTGACTGTGATAAATATATACCTGTCGGACCCATTCGTCGGCTAGGGCGGCAAGAGCGCGGCCTTCGCCCCCTGGTGGCCAGAGACTGCACTTTCTTTGAGTATGTGCACCTAGGCGGAGCCTCAGATGAGCCCAAGACCAGCATTTGGGCACGGTGGGCGTGGCTGTAGCCCAGGTTTGGAACTCTGCTCCTTTGTCAAAAGTTCGAATCCATGCTCCTGCTTCCAGTGCTTGCTTGAAGATGTGAGAGCTTAGCTTCCACTCCTCCTCCAGCCACCTCTGCCACCATGCCTCCCTGCTTCGTGATGGACCTTTGCCCCTTGGAACCAGAACTTCGGAGGACATAAAGAAGTCCCTGATTGGCCATTGCATGAAGCTGTGAAGGTGAAGCCTGGTTGCCAATGGAGACCCCAGGAAGACGGTTGTGATTTCAGAGCTGTGAAGCATCTGCCAAGAAGATCTGCATACAGGGCATGGTACCAGCCCAAGAGAGAGATGTATGTTGCACACAGCAAAGGTGGAGGCTGAGCCACCTAAGTCCTCTGGAAGTCCCAGGAGTCGAAATTTGGTGTTTTCCCTGTTGGTTTTTGGTCTTGTTTTGGTCTGGTGTTTCCTCACTATGCCCGTATTCTTCACTTTTGGGATGGGAATGTGTATTTGGTTCCACTGTATGTTACAAGTAATTTGTCTTTTTACAGGGGCTTACAGTTAAGAGATTTCTGAGTCTCCAAAAAACAAAAACAAAGAAGTTCGAAACCATTTAATTTATGGGGGAGGGGGGCATGTACCGCCCCACAAGTGTGGAAGTCAAGGTCCTACTTGTGGGAATTGATCCTCTCTTTCCAACATGTGAGTCCTGGGGATTGAACTCAGGTCCTTAGCTTAAGTCATCTCCCCAATTCCTCAACCTATAAAAAGTATGTTTAGCCAGGCGTAGTGGTGCACATCTTTAATCCCAGCACTTGGGAGGCAGAGGCAGGCAGATCTCTGTGAGTTCAAGGCCAGCCTGGTCTACATAGTGAGTTCCAGGACAGTTGGGGCTACAGGGAGATCCTGTCTCAAAAAAGACCAAAAAAAAAAAAAAAGTATATATATGCACTTGCATACTTTTTGAGTGTGTCTCCGTGTTTGTGTGTGTGTGTCACTGTGTCTGTGTCTGCCTGAGCGCATGCACGTACCACAGCACGTGGTGAACAACGTGCTGGAGTTGGTTCTCTCTTTCCTCCACGTCGGTTCCAGGGACCAATCTCAGGTTGTCAGGAATGTAACCTTGTACAGCAAGCCCCTGTATCTGCTGAGTCATCTCACAATCTCAAGACTGGTTTTTGTTTTTTCAGACAGGGCCTCACTATGTAGCACTGGCTGGCCTGGAACTCACTATGTAGACCAGGCCATGATCCGGCTGTCTCTACTTCCCGAGTGCTGGGATGACAGGTATGCACCATCACAGTATTTTGTGCAGTACTGGGTTGGGCTTCGTGAATACTAGGCAAGCATTCTACCAACTGAGTTCTCATGTAGCCCAAGGTGGCTTCCGTCCTCTCACCTCAGCCTCCCACCCTCCACTATGGCCTGAGAAGTTTCAATAGATGCATACCAGAGAAGCGAACTTTTATTATGAAGGGAGGACTGGATCCAGCCCAAAGTACACTCCCCAAGCCCTGCTCCTCTGGAGCCTTGGGTCCAGCAAGTTCCTACAGAGGCCCTGTGCACCTTGAATTCTATGAGCAGATGTCAGAAGTCAATCCGAGCTTCCTGGCTCTGGGCGTAGCTGCACTAGACAGCTGCGAAGATGCGCTGCCCCGGGGCCCCAGAGCTCAGGCTGCTGCGATGGAGACGTTGAGGTCCTGGCGGATGAACCACGCAGGCGGGTGCGGCAGCCAACCCCGCAACACACACAGCAGGTGGAAACGCCACGGGTAGAAGACGCCTGAAGCCCACGTGGCACCTCCACGGATCACAGCCAGGGCTGCCTTGGGTCCCGCGGCAGCCCTGGCACTGCCGATGCCCCTGGGGGGGACGAGAGGGCATGGTGGAGACTGCAGCCAGGGCTGTGCACGCCCCCTGCTGTCGCCTAGGCCTTACCTGACGCCCTCGGTGGCCGAGGTACGCTCGCGCAGGCCCAGGACGCACAAGGTGATTGCAACGTTCACGTCCTGCACGTCCAGCTCCCGCCGCAGGAAGCCAAAGAAGCCGTCCAGCGCGAACTTGGCCGCCGAGTACAGGCTGGAGAAGTACGCAGGCACATGGCCTGCGGCGCGGGAGCACGACCGCTCAGCAGCTGCAGGGCAGCCCGAGCCCAGCCTCACCCGCACCAAGCCATGGCCGCCCTGCTCCCGACGGGGACACGCACCGAGCACAGAGGACACGACCACTAGGGAGCCGCGGCTGGCGGCCAGGCTGGGCAGCGCACACGACGTCAGCTGCACATAGCTCAGTAGGTTCACCTGCAGGGGGCGACTGCGCGTTGGCGGCCAGGTGCTACGCCGGGTGGGGGCGGGGTCAGAGGACAGCAGGGGGTGGGGCCAAGGAGAGGGGCGGAGCCTGCGGCCCAGGAGCCAGCTGGGGGCGGGGCCACGACCAGAGCGGCGGGACTTGCAGCCATGATGTAAGCTTTGGGCTGAACCCAGTCTAGGGAGAAGCCAGGGGTAGAGGGAGTAGCCCAGGAACTGAGAGTTAGCTAGTGGCGGGGCCAATGTGGGAGGAAGAGGCCTGAACCCAAGTTCAGAGCTAGAGAGTGGGGCCCACACCCTGAACATCAGCCTGGTGGGCGGAGCCAAGGCGGGGGGTGGGGCCCGAAACTGAGCAGGGAGGCTGAACCAAGGGGTGGGCTTAGGGGTCCACGGGGGCGTAGCCAAAGCAGGGAGGGTCGGGGCCTCTGGGTGTAGGAACGCTTAGGGCTGAGCCAAAGCTAGAGGGCGGTACCCAGAAGGAGGAGGGAGGTGCTGAGTGTTAGCCCAAGGGCGAGGCCAAGAACTGAGGACTGTAGGGGCTCATAGCCCTGAGCTAAGCTGTCCTGAGCAGCTGCAGCTAGCAGAACCACTTCGGGCGTGGGCGTGGCCTTGGCTGGGAGGGCGTGGTCCTACAGTGCTAGCTGGCGGCCTGGAAGGTTCTGAGCACCTGCAGGAGCCAGCGGGTGGCCTTGGCGCTTCGGGCTCTCAGTCCGGCCGGAGCGCCTCCGACGTGGTTCAGCACGAGGTAATCCAGACCCCCTGATCCAAATAGGACGGTTAGCACGGGGCTGACCCTTGAAGTCTCCCCTCTGCGTACCAGAGCCCTGCATTCCCTGACTTGTTTTCTCCCCATCCTTGAGGTGGCCAATCTAGAGTTCCAGTCCTTGAGATAATCAGAAGCCCAGGACCCCATAAGTCTCTCCTGCTGCCCCCTCTATCACCCCGCACCCGAATTTTAGGTCCCAGCCCTAAAAGCCTGGATATCAGGCCCCGCCCCTCACCCAGCTTGTCCAGCGCAAACTGCACCACGTGCTGGGGTGCCTCGGGGGAGGCCATGTCTGCTGCAATGTAGAAGACCTTCAGGGCGCCCAACTTCCTGCAGTTTCCGACCACCTGGTGGGGGGACAGAGCTGTCTGTAGATCCCGGTCCACCTGCCCGCCCCTCCCTGCTGTTCTGGAAGCTTCCGCGCTGGGTTTTTATCAGCAAGCACCTTGGTACAACCCACTACAAGTACTTTTTCTTTCAACAAATGAAACTGGCTCAGAAAGGGGAGTTCATTTGCCCGCAGTCACATAGGAAACTGAGTCAAGAACCCAGACCTTCTTTCTGTTCCTGTAGCCTCCCCCACTACTCAACTAGACTTAGGGAGGCCTACCTTGTGCAGGAGGGCTTCAGTGGTGGCCGTGAGCACCAGGTGGGCGCCCAGGCGGGCGTACTGATAGGCCAGTTCCTCACCAACTCCTGTGCTGGCCCCAGTCAGCAGGACTCGGCTCCCTGGAGGGTGGCTGACAGGGATTAGAGGTGCTATGCCTGAGGGGGTAACAGGACAGCCACGGAATTCCTCCCTTCGCCCTTCCTTGCCACTTACCTGGGTCAAAGTTGTCATCCCAATAGAGGGTGAAGAACAGGGCCCCCAGTCCTGTGAGAAGTAGTACCTGCATTGACCCCCCCCCCCCAGGGCCTGCAACGGGAAAAAGATGGCGGCACAGCCCGGGAAGACCGGCCTTTGTGTGGTGGGCAGGATCTCATCTTGATTCCTCGCTGCCAAAAATACGCCCAGCTGCATTTGGGGTAAAGGGTCCTGGAAGCCCTCTCCACTTGTTCAGCCCGACCTGGGTACCCTATGCCCCATGGCCTTTGCACAGCTAAGTCCTCAGCCATGGAGAGGTGCCTGGATTGGTTAATAGATGGGTGGATGGGAGGTAGGTGAGTAGATGGACAGACAATAAGATGGCCAGTGGGTATGGCGATAGATGGATGTGTGGATGAGTAGATGGAGCAGTGGATGAATGGATGGGTGCAGAGAGACGAGTAGATGAATGATAGATGCGTAGAGGGAAGGACTGGCTAGCTAAATGAACGTGTGGGTGGATGCTGGATGGATAGATGGATCGGTGGATGGGTGCATAGTAGTGGATGGGCGTGTGGCTGCAGCAGTCCACAGGAGGGAGGAATGCAGCACTCAAACCCTGTCAGAACGCTCAAGCACAAGACCTCGTCCCGCCTTAGCTTCGCACAAAGCGGGCATGTAACCCCTAACACGCCCTACTCACCCTCTTGGGCCTCAGTTTCCCCCACCGATGGTCCCTCTAGTTCCTCCTCTCCCTAGTGCTCCGCCCGCCCCCTGCCAAGCCCTATAGGGCGTCCCCAAATCACGAGATCGCGAGCCCCCCACCCCCCCTTTCCCTCGGGCGGGGACTGTACGCCCTGCCATTGCCAGGCAACAACCTCTTCCTGGTTCTTCCAGCATGCGGTCCTGATCCCGGGCCGCGCCCCGGCTCAGTCACGTGACCGAAGACCCGCCTCTCGGCAGAAGCCACCCCTGGCGTTGCCATGGCAACCACCTCCAGGCTAACTCACTCACAGGGATGTTCATTGCCTCGCGCGGGCGTGGGGGTACTCTCCAGCATCTTCCCCCCGGCTCCACCCGTCGTCCTTCCAGACCCCCACCGCGCCGTCACCCCTTTTGGCTCGGACTGGACTACATTTCTCTGGAGGCTTTGCGTCCTGTCTCATTCTGGGTCGTTCCAGACTGCATTTCCCAGAAAGGTTTGCGGCGGCCGAGCTTCCAACAGTCCTGTTGTGAAGTCTAACGCTCCCGTCGGCCTTTGCAGTTTGACTAGGGGGACTACATCTCCCAGGCGCCTCCGCGGCGCCGCCCACCGGAAGCGGAGGGCGAGTCGTTTGTCCTTGTACGACGAGTGGATCGAGGTACCATGGTGGCCCGAGTGTGGTCGCTGATGAGGTGCGTGGAGAGCCGGGCAGGCTCCGAGCCTTCAAGAAATGTTTCCTGTTGCAGGCACCTGTGCCCTGCGGCTTGGTGCCGCGCGGCAGTTCATTCTCAGTTGTGTCTGGCCTTCAGCTCTTCATGGTCCACATAGGGAAACAGCTTATTGGCGAAGTGAGGACCGGTCACCTCCCTCCGACCTCCCTTCGAGCCCTTGAGGCTTGGCTCACTGTGCCAGAGCACCTCGAGTCTGTTTACCCTTTTGTGCAATGGGCATGCGTGGGAAATCCTGCCGTTCGCCTCTCTGGAGGTAATGAGTGACATACAGGGAACTTCCGGGGACTCCCTCTAAGACGTCTGGAAAGTCAGGGTCTTAAGTGTAAGCTATCCCGCTATCTGCAAGAATTCGAAGGAGCCAGTCTCTTTTTTAAAAAATCTTCATTTTCTGTGTATGTTTTGCGTGCATGTGTGTAAGTGCACCGTTATCGTACAGTTCCCACGAAGAACAGAAAAGAGCGTCGGATCCCCTTGAACCGGAGGTACAAGACGGTTGTTAGCCGCTATGTGGGTGCTGGGAACTGAACCCTGGTCCTCTGTAAGAGTAGTCAGTGCTCTTTACCTCTGAGACATCTCTCCAGTACCACTATCTCCATTTAAGCCTCATTTTACACGTAAAAAGTCGTCGGAGGAGGCAATTTGAAAGATCTGGGTTCCCTGGGCTCTCAGGGTGCCCCAGAATCGGACCCCTTGGGGTGAGATGCAACAGCACTCCTGAACTGGGCTTGCCACAGGTTTCTCATCAAAGGAAGTGTGGCAGGCGGCGCAGTCTACCTTGTCTACGACCAGGAGCTGCTGGGGCCCAGTGACAAGAGTGAGGCTGCCCTGCGAAAGGCGGAGGAGGTCGTGCCCCCAGCCATGTACCAGTTCAGCCAGTATGTGTGCCAGCAGACGGGTCTGGAGATGCCAAAGGTACCTGGGCTGGGAGTGGGGCTGAGAGTGAGGCTGGGACTTGACAGATCAGCTTTGGGGTGGCCCTGGGGCCTGCTCCAGCCCGGTTGGTTGAGGCCCCGAGCTTCTGGGGTGAGGTGAGGGGCTGCTGACATCCCTGTGCACCAACCTCTCTTCTCTTCTCTCCAGCTCCCAGCCTCTCCAAAGATTAACCTTCCGAACTTCCGTGACTTCTGGAACTCAGGTAGACCCTGGTCCCTGTGCTTGGGGAATGCCTTGTTCCCCAGCTGTTTGCCCAGCCAATTCTTTCCTATTCAGCTTCTGTGTGCTGCCTATGGAGCTAAAAGTAGAAAGGCCTGAGTGTGATGCACACCTGTCATCCCAGTACTCTGGAGGTAGAGGCAGGAAGACCTGGAGTTTAGGGTCATCCTGTTACATAGCCTGGGCCACAGGAAACCTGTCTCTTTTAACAAAGCCACAAAAGCTGGGTGTGGTAGTGCACTGAGAAGGGCTGAAGCAGGAAGAGAGAGCTTGAGGCTAGCTGGGCTACATAGTGAGATCTTCTCTCAAAAATCCCCAAATAATAAGCCGGGTATGGTGGCACACACCTTTAATCCTAGCTCTTGGGAGGCGGAGGCAGGCAGATCTCTGTGAGTTCGAGGCCAGCCTGGTCTACGTAGATAGTTCCAGGCCAGCTGGGGCTACAGGGAGACCCTGTCTCAAAAAGACCAAAACAAAACAAAACTAAAAAAACCCCAAACAAGCCAGGCGCAGTGGAGTGCCCATCTTTAATCCTATTACTTAGGAGGCAGAGACGGGCAGATCTTTGAGATGGGTAGGAAGTTCCAGGCCAGCCAGCTAGGGCTGCATAGTGAGACCCTGTCTCAAAAACCCCCAGAACCCGCCACTGGAACTTGTCCAGTGAGTCAGACGGGGCCACATTCCTGCCTGTTTCTCTGCTGGCAGGTTTGCAGGCTTCCCCAGGGGGTTGGCTGAGGGTGGCTTGTGCAAGGTGGCGGCCTCCCCAGCACCTGCACTGTGCCTGCAGGAATCATGTCCGTGATGTCCGCTCTGTCCGTGGCCCCCACCAAGGCCCGAGAGTACTCCAAGGAAGGCTGGGAGTACGTGAAGGAGCATGCCAAGTAGCAGAGGCTGCCTGTCCCAGCAGAACTGCCAACAGGACCAGGAGTCACAGAGTCCACCAGACTAGGGACCCCACTCAGCGCAGCTTTCAGGCCCAATAAAGGATTTTGGAACTGCTCCTGTCTGTTGGCTGGCAAGTGTAGGGGACGACTAGGGGACGGCCTGGGGTACCTCTGTCGGCAGGCTGCTGTGTGGAGTTCTGGCTGACAGTGGGTCCCTGTGATCCACAGACACAATTGCTGGGACCCAGAAAATGTTGGCTGGTTTTTGAGTGTTTTGTATGTGTGTATGCATGTGTGTCCAGTACTAGCAGAGGTCAGAAGAGGGCATTAGATCCTCTGGAATTGGAATTATGGGCATTTGTTAGCCGCCATGTGGGTGCTGGTAACTGAACCCCGATCCTCTGCAAGAGCAGTCAGTGCTCTAACCCCTGGGCTATCTCTGGTACCCAGAAAGAGTTGAGAAGAGGCTTAGGGGAGCAGGGAATTCGAAGAGTCCTGAATGTAAGCTTCACCTACAGACCAGCAGGGGTCACCATGTCTGTGGCCCCTCCATCCTGTCTTCTCTCAGTCCTTTTCTGTCACCCTCACTTTGTGTTCTTGACAACCTGAGGTACCAGCCACTTGGGTCTCCCAGCATTCTACCCCAGAAGGATGCTTTCCCCAGGGACAATGCCCCCAAACTCCTTTCCCACACTGCATCAAGCTGCCTGGGGCTTGAAAGCGTCTGTCTCCCCAGGAGGCTGTGAGCTCAGGGGTCCCTCACACCCAACCACACAGGATGTCTGTCCAGTGGGAAACCAGCCTCAGGAGGCTGGTGGGGCCCCCCAGCACCCTGCACAGGTAAAGTGGAGACCTCAGTGCTGTAAACTTTCCCATGGAGATGCCCTGAGCTGTGGGTCCTCCCCATTACCAGCCTGTGCAAGTGATGGGGACTTGGGGTGAGAGGTGGAGGCGGCTTTAGAAGGGCCGGGGGTGGGAGGTGAGGGGTGATGAAGGAGGTTCTAGAAGGGGCCAGGATGCTAGGGTGCACTGGTGGGAGGAATTGGCCTCCTGCTTCAAGAGTGACTTGTACACAGATATGGAGACAGGTGTCATTCAGCGTGGCATCACCTGCACAGCTGGGAACCTCAGAAGGCTGTGCCCTTCCAGCCCAACAGGCACCCTGGGGACTGCCACGGCAAGGAGAGCCAAGGGACATGCAGAGCACCCAGAGCTGGTGAGGCCTCCAGGCCACCACCCAGGGCTACCTTGGAACCCAGGCAGGGGCTCCTGGTTGCTGCCCAACCTGCCTTCTACCATCCCTTCAAGTATAGGGGGACAGGAAAGGTGGCTCGGGAACAGACAGCAGGTTGGCAGCTGATGAATTAGATGGATGGGCAGGTGGTGGATAAACGGATGGATGGTTCCGTGGATATAGGAGTGTGTCTTGTGTAAGCCTACCCATCCTGTCCACCTGGCTTTGGTCCTTAGTGGCAGGCAGCCTTGGGGTGGAGGTTGGCTGCACAGGGTGTGGCATCAGGCTGGTCACTGGGCTGCCTGCACAACTCCAGGTGAGGTCAGGTGGATGTGGGTGACTTCTGTGTCTTACAACGCTCACACCGAGGGCTTTCTCTGCCCTGTGACCCATGTCTGGGCTGCAGTGTGAGGCAGATGGCCCTTTACCCTCAGTTGCGGCTACTGTTCCCTCTCCATGGTGGGCCTGGCTGGGGTGGTGGAATCACTCAGTAGCCCAGCCGTGCCTGCAGCTGTCATGGTTTCCTGGGATGTTTGGAAGGCTTCCCTCGGCTGTGGTGGTCCTCCCTAGAACACAGGGCTGGGTGTTGCTCCTCTGCCCCCTTGAAGAGAGAGTGCCGGACGCATCCAGTTGCACCTGTGGTAGTCACTGCAGCCTCATGGGGGGCTGAGTACCTCCCGCCCTCAGGGTCATCGGGCAATACCGTCTGTGTCCAGGAAGCAGGAGCTAGCCCTGAAGCCCAGGTGGCATGGGGCCTCTGTGCTAACTACTTTCCTGTGTGCAGGCTGGGGATGGCATGAGGCTGGGCGCTGGGCCACTCTTCCCTTGTGCTAATGTCAGGCAGCCTTAGAGTAGAGGACATTGAACAGAAACACCTTTATTACAAAAACAAAAAACAAAACAAAAAAAGAACAAATTCACATTGTATCCAGCTACAATATGGCAGCAGATTAAAAAAAAAAAAAAATCCTTTGTACAGACAGGGTGGAAGGGACAGTCCTGACCGCACAGTCACAGTCACAGGTGAGTGGAGCATCTCAGTAGCGGCGGGTGAAGCGGGCGTCACTGGGCCGGCTGCCCCTGCTCTGTCCCCCGAAGCCACCCTGCATCCCTCCACGTGGGATCACATGGCCCCGAGAGGCACCGCCAGGGGCGAAGCTGCCTCGCCTGGAGAGAAGTGGGCACTGTTGTACGGGGCCACCCGACTCCCAGTGCACCCCAAGGCTCACCAGTGAGGGACAGTGTAGCACTCACCCCGACATGCCGCCGCGACTCATCATGTGGCCTGGCACATTCCTCTCACCACCTAGGGGACCAACATATGATTGTGTGGGCAGCTCTCTGGCCCATCTCTGCCCAATCTGTGCCCCACCTGAGCTGGTCAGTCCCTCTCTGCAGAACAGGGTCTGCATCCTCCTGGATCTAGGGTCACCAGTTCATCTGCAGACCCACCAAGGTCGTCACTAAGTGGCTCTGGCCACCTGTGAAGCTGCGAGCACCAGCTCACCTTGCCACCTCTTATGCTCTCGGTCCATCATGCCCCCATCTGCAGCGCCCTGCCATGCGCGGTCATCCTCCAGTCTCCGGCCGTGTTCCCCCCAGTCACGTCTGCCCCTTGGAAAAAGACACTTCTGACCACCACTGCGCCAAGTGCATGGCCAGCAGGGGGCTCAGTGTGGCTAGGGGCTCACTATCACCCAGTGTGCTCAGTCCCACCTGTACCCCAGGGCACTTCTGAGACACAAACCTGGGGGGAGGGGGTAGGCCCCGGCCTTCACTCATCCGCTTGTCAGAGCCGTAGCCCCAGCCATCACGTGAGTCCCGGCCATGGCGCTCTGGCCCTCCATGGCGCTCAGGGTAATGCTGCACCAGAGAAAACGGTTAGGTCAGCACTGACCCAGATCCCTGGACAAGGACAGTGGCCCTGACAGCCTGGCCATCAAGGCTCGCAGCACAGTAACCTGGGATGTGGACCAAGTTCTGGCCAGTATGTGAAACCCTGTCCACTCATTGCCATACTCTCCCCTCAGGAGAGCTCAACTTTATAAACCTGTCTTGGGTGCCCCCACTCCCCCCACTTTTCAGCAAAGGTGTCTCACAGGACCACCCCACCTTGCACAGTCAGACTTCATCAATTTGTGATACCCAAAGGGCAGAGGAGTGACAGCACACCGCAGCACCCCAACAAGCTAGGCCAGTTCTCCCCACTTGTGTGAGGCCTAGACAGTCTGGAAATTGAAATCTCAGCAATCCTCTGGTCTCAAACCCTCTCAGTCCTGTGTAGTGAGAACAGCTGCCAAGCTCAGCTCCAGTAACAGCCTTTTTTTTTCTTTTTCTTTCCCTGTAGCCCCAGGTGTCCTGGAACTCACTACGTAGACCAGGCTGGCCTTGAGCTCACAGAGATCTGCCTGCCTCTGCTGGGATTAAGGAATGCACGCACTACCATGCCTGGCCAGGTGTGGTAGTGCTACTTTTTTTTTGGGGGGGGGGGGGTCTTTTTGAGACCTGGTCTCCCTGTAGTCCCAGCTGTCCTGGAACTCATTATGTAGACCAGGCTGGCCTTGAACTCACAAGAGTTGCAGGCTACAGGCTTACTCCACCATGCCCAGCATCCTTTTAACCCCAGCACTTGGGAGGCAGAGGCAGGTGACTCACTGTGAGAACTAGGCCAAAATGGTCTAACTACTGAGTTCTAGGCTAGCCAGGGAAACATAGTAAAATCAGTCTCAAAAAAATGCTCCCCCAAACCAACCTCCACCCTTAAAACAACAAAACAGCATTTTTAGAAAATATTTATGTGGGGCTGGAGAGATGGCTCAGCGGTTAAGAACACTGGTTGTTCTTGCAGAAGACCTGGGTTCAAATCCCAGCACCCACATGGCAGCTAACAACTATCCATAACTCCAGTTCCATGGGGATCCAATGGCCTCTTCTGTCCTCCGCGGGCATTGCACAACATGGGTGCACTTACCTACATGCAGGCAATACACACATACACATGAAATAAAAATAACAAAATATTTAAAAAAAAAATACTCTGTATGGTTAAAAATAGAGCACAAATAGGTTTTTTGTTGTTGTTGTTCAAAGACCCAAAATATACAGTGCTATGGTTACGTTTCTAGGGACGATTTAAGTGTCTCTGGCTCCCCAACTGCACAGCAGTGTAGGCTTTAACCCCGGCTTCTTCAGTTTCAGTCATTTACCAAAGCTAAAATCATACTGTAAAAAACACGACGAAGTGGAACAGGGAGAAACCAAGCTTGATCCTGGCTTCTTTCATGTGTGACTTCAACTGCCCTCGACGGCCTTTCTTTCTGTTGGATCAAACACTTTTATTGGATCAAACTATTTCTTTCTATTGGATCAAACACTCCCCTGTGGCCACTTGGCACCATAATGAACCTACATACATGTTCCAAGTGGCGAAAGGTAGGTTGAGAAGAGGAAGCAGTTCAAGGAAGTAACATAGCAATGACTGTGTGGCCGGCTGACCTGGACTCACCCACTTGTTCAATTTTTACCAACAGGATGTAGCATTAACGTAATCACATTTTAAATCAGTGTAATTATGAAGTACACAGAGAGGAAGATGAGCACACAACATCCGATGAGAGAAAAAAGGACACCACTGCCTCCACGCCCTGTCATCAAACAAGCTCCGGGCCACGCTGCCCGAACAGGTCCAAAACACCATTTTTAATTTTTTGGAGAAAAAGCACAAACTCCCAAGTTTTTAAATGTGTATGAATGTATTGCCTACATGTAAGTGCACCTGTGTCATGCAATGCCCGCAGAGGACAGAAGAGGGTGTTGGATCCCCAAGAACTAGGAGTTTCAGAGGATTGTTAGCTGCCATGTAGGTGCTGGAATTCAAACCCAGGTCCTTGCAAGAGCTCTTAAACACTGAGCCATCTCTCCAACCTCAAAACTCCCAAGTTTTAAGAGACAAGGCTGGACAAAACCACCAGGTACCAAGGGCAGTTGGACCCAATGACTTCACCTGTTCACAAGGTTTCCAAACTGCCTGACATGCGCAGGTATGCATAAAGGGTCACTGCCTGTCACTGCTTCCCACAACAGGACAAGCAGCTCAGCACAAAGCTGTGGCAACAGGACCGGAGCTTGGTGCTCAGCCCCTTGCAGAGAAAAAGCCACAAAATGGGGCTAAATTTGCTATAGGTCAGGGTACCCAGAGCAGGCGGGCAGCACTAAGGAGGGTAATATTCTGTGGCCTGCATCTATCCTGGAGGCCTGACCGCCATCTACATGTGCACACAGACACCAAAGCAAGGTCGTCAGCCTTGTCAGGAGCCAGGTCCCTGGTCACATGGACTGATGACCAAGGCTCTGTAGGGCTTAACTGGCCAAGTGTGCCATCGTTCTACACAGCCTGGTGTCCACCGGGAGGCCTCATGACAACACGGGGAGACCATGTAGCCCCTTGGCGTGGCTCAGCAGCCACCCTGCTACAGTGTAGGGAGTGGGAGCAGGGCCTGTGGCCACAACACCAAGACCAAGTGCAGTGGCAGCCACTAGGGGTGCCCTGGGGCTGGGACCTAACCACACTGTGGAAGCTGCAACCTGTGCTTACCTGTCCTTCCCTGTCTCCCATCATGGATCTGGAACCTTCTCTCCTGAAAAAGAATTGTAGTGAGCCAGAGTGGGGAAGGGGCTGGCTTGCCAGACCCACAGCTGCCCACAGGCTGCCAGTGGGGCCTCTCACCTGTCCACCGAATGGTTGGGGTAGCGGCCGCGGTCCCTGTGGTCAAAGTCATGGAAGCGGTCTTGGCGGCTGAAGTCAGAGTGGTAACGGTCATCCAGGGCGGCACGCTTGGCTTCTGGCCAGTATGCATCGTCACGCCTGTGACGAGAGTAGGATGGGGACAGACCTGTCAGCCCTGAGAAGCACCAGGACCCCAGAAAGCCTGTGTGCCTCCACAGCCACCACACCCATAGCAAAAACACACCGTAGAAGGTCTGAGAGACAAGGTTGGACCTAGAACTTAATGGCCACCACACCGTGCCTCAGTACTGTCGTGGGCGTTGAGCACCCTGACAGAACATTCACGGTCAGTCTACAGAATGGCAGGAGGACCTCAGCACCCCATGCCCCAGGGTTGAAGCAGACTCGCTGCCTGCAGGACAAGGTGACAGAGGCAGTGCCTTGCCGCCAAGGCCAGGAGGCTGCAGGAGAGGCTGCATGTGCATGGCACATCTGGCCATGAGGCCATGTGAGACTTGCAGTGGACCCAGGAAATGCTGTCTGGCCTGAAGCACTTCCACATCAGGGGTCACATGGGACCCCAGGGGTCTGGGCCCTGCTTGGGTTCAAGTGTGATGACCACTTTCTGTGGGTCTCAGGTGGGCCCCGAACCCGCTGTGCCCTGGGCCCGGCTTACCGGCCGTCCACGTCATAAGGCCTGCGCACGGCGGGTCGCCGCTCCTGCTCATAGCGCAGCTCCTGCTGGCGCCGCAGCTCCTCACGTTCTCGGTGGATGCGCTCTTGCTCCCGCCGCCGCTCCTGCTCCACGTGCATGCGCTCCCGCTCCAGCCGCTCGCGTTCCATGCGCTCGCGCTCCAGCCTGTGGCGGTGAAAGGCCAGGCGCTCCCGGGCGATCTCCAGCCGCTCGCGCTCCTCACGCTCCCACTGGGCCTGCAGCCGCTGCTCCCGCTCACTGCGCTCCCGCTCCCTGCTGGGACAGGGCCCTGTGAGGCCACTCTGGCTTCCTGGGAGCAGTGGCGCTCACATCCTTTCTATCCCCTTGCCCTCTCTGGCAACCTTCCGTGGTCTTTGGAGGTCGGCATGCACAGCAGCAGGCTCTTCCCCAAGGGCCCACTCCGTGTCCAGGCACTCAGGGCATTCAGGCTGCTTGTGTCCCCTCACCCACTCACCTACGAGAATCTGAGTCTCTGGACTTGCGAGGCTCCTTCACCTTGTCAAAGGACACGACGGAGCGCTTCTCCCTGCTGGCTGATTTGCGGTCCTCGCTCTTGGAAGCCTGCAGTACCAAAGACCAGAGGGTGATGGAGGGAAAACAGGGACCCACAAGGGGACAGGGACAGTGATGGGAAGGATGAGACAAGGTACCAGTCAAGAAATATACATAAAGAAAAGACTGGCTCAAAATAGAGCCGACTGTTCTATTCTGAAAGCTGCCAGAGACGAAATTGTGTTTACCCTTCCGCTTTTCTGTATTAACCCAGGCTGGACCACTCTATCTGATCGCAGTCAAATCCCCTGACTCCACACTCGGGGCTGGAGGGCGTTGGGTCCCCACAATGGCTAAGCCAGAACTTTCTATTCTTTACCTTTCCATCTAAAACAACGTCTTTAACTTTTCTAGTTTGAGATAGGCAGCCTGGGCTGGCCTGGAACCCGTGGTGATCTCCCCACCCTGCTTCCAGTATGTTTTGATGACAGGCCTGCACCATTGCCCTGGCTTAAGTCTTCAAGCCCCTTCCTACTCCCTTACAGCCAGGGCCCCAGCTCAGCTCCTCAGCTGTGTGGCCAAATCCACCAACAGTGACACCTGGGCCTGGCTGGGCCTGCAAGTCACCTTCCCACTTTTCTAGAGGCTTCTGTGTAAGACGGGGGTTTGAAAGACATGGTCTGTAAGCTGTCCTGACTGCACATGACTGTCCCCATCAACATGCCAGAGTTTAGAATGACTGGTTGTATCTGCCCTGACAGTGCATGCTGACTGAGCCCAGGGTCTTCTAGTGAGTCAGCACAGTGGGGAGAGTGGCAGGGCAGCTGCTCTGGAGCCCGTAGGGCCAGCAGTAGATGCTCCCGTCTTTTAGACTGGTCAGCCTTATCAGCACTACTGTGACCAGCCTGGAGAATAGCTTCCTGCATCCAGGGGTACCATCTTCCCCCGCAGAGGTCTGGCCCCCAGCTGACGCCCAGCAGCCCTGCACTCACTCTCTCTTTGGACCCGGAGGTCTTGACGCTGATGACGGGCACACCTTTGCACTTGTCCATCACCACTGTGCGCTCCGTGCCCCGGCTTCCTGTGGAGCAGATGGGAAGCTGCAGACAACTGTCATTCAAGGTGGCCAGGCTGGAGTGGCAAGAGGCCCGGGTGGCACCTACCTGACTTGGTGGCTCGGGAGCGTTCTGCGGGCTTCTCATCAGGGCCCCTGCTCTTCTCCCCACTGCCATCGTCCCCCCTTTTGGCATCATCTTTTCTGTCTGCTTTCTCCTCTCTTTTCAGGTTTGTGGCTCTGGGAGTGACACATGGGTGTCAGAGTACATACTGAGGAGGCAATAGCCTTCCCGTGAGCCCAGAGTGAGGTGGCCACGGTCCCGGGGAGGAGTACCTGTCGCTGGTGCTAGCCTTCTCCTTCTTGCCATCCCCATCGCGCCTGTCAGGCACTCTCTTGCCAGCAGGCTCACTTTTGGCCTGCAGGAGGAAGTCAGTCACATGCCAGTGCCACTGTGTCCCACTGCCCCAGCACAGACGTGGACAGTCACACAGCCGCTCACCTTCTCCACAGAGATCATCTTGCCATGCAGCTCCGTCTTGTGGAGGTGGCTGATGCATTTCGTGGCCTCTTCTGCTGTGGACATGGTAACAAAGCCGTAACAGCGAGCTCCGGGACTCCGGGCATTTGTTACCACCTTGGCACCCACCACCTGAAGAAAAAAGGACACACATCTCAGAGAGCCGTGGGTGCAGGTGCAATGGCCTCTGTGTGGCCCATGAAAGCCACAGAGTGGGTAGGCGGAAGCCTGAGTCTGCACAGCGCTGCCGTCCACGCTGCCCAACTAAAGGTACATAGTGCAAGCTGCCATCGGCCTACCACAGGAACCAGGGGTACAATAGAAGGCTCTGCCTGAGCTCCTTTAGCATAATTTAAACCACGCCAGCAAGTTAACAGTCACACTACAAGAATGAATTGGGAACTGGGACACAGCAATGGATAGACACATGACCCAAGTGTCCATCACAGTGACCAAAACAATTGGGGACACAAATGGAACTGATAGAACTGACAGACTCACACTGTGCACCCACCCAACTCTCAGGCCCTGGCCAGCCTGGGAACTGGGAGGTGACTTGATTCAGGAAGCAGCCATAGGCTCCTGGCTTATTGTGCCCTGTGGGGACACAGCCCAACTGGGACTTAGGACAGAGCCCTGTCCCAGCTGGTCCTGCACACGCCCTTCAGGCAGCTGCTGTCAAGGGCCCGAGCTCAGCCCCAACAAGGTGCATGGCTGCAGCAGGCCTCACCTTCCCATACTTGCTGAAGAGGTTCTTCAGGTCTGTCGCTCTGGTCGTAGACGAAAGGCCGCTGACCCAGAAATTTCTACCGCAGCTGCTACGACCTATGCAAAAGAAAAGTTCTAGTCAGTAGCACATATCTGCAGGTCCCGGGTCTCAAGCTCAGAGGCCCCAGGGACACCAAGAGCCCAGGCCCATGGCACAGTCAGCAAAGGGCTGGCCACAGACCCCAGTGGCCTTGCCCAAGTTGTCTTTTGACCATTAAGTAGCTGAGCAGGGAGGAGGAGTCCATTGCCTGCCTTCTAGAAGCCATACTGGACCTTCCTGGTCCTGCACAGCCAGGGAGTAACTGCAGTCCCATGTTCTCACTTCCTAGTAATTTTGGTTTCGAGAAAAGACCTTGCTAAGTAGCTTAGTCTAGCCTGGAAAGTGTAGACTTCCTCTGGCTCGCCTCCTGAGAAGCCGTGAACTGGATACGGCTCATTGAGTCACTTTAACTGGAGGTGTGACTCAAAACACACTCAGAGCACGTCAGCGCTTAGGGGTGGGACTGTGGCCACAACCCAGGACCTGCGATGTTAGCAGGGAGGAGGGGAAACTTTCATAAAGATTCAGGCACATCTGTATGTCAGGGGAGACATGGGCTGTGGGGATGGGGACCTCACCCTTTTCCTCTCTGGAAAGCCGTTTTGTGTCCGAGTCATCTTCAACAGAACTAGAGACAAGAGACAGTGTCACTGAGGGGGCTGCCACCGCGGGCAACAACCCAGAGCCTTACGGACCCACCAACGTTGCATACCTACCCGGCACCTAGTTCTCAAAAAGGACACCCCGACAAATGAGTTTTGGAAAGCTGACCTAACCATAAGATTTCATACCCACAGGAGTTAATTTTCTGCCGGGCTAAAGATAATTAAGAAGAATTAAAGCAAACCACCGTGACAGGTTGGAAAAAGAAAAAAACAAAAAACGATTACAGAACCAGTGTAAAATAAACGAGGAAAGATGGCGGTGTGTGTGGAGCTGGCCGGGCAGCCGGGCTGCCGTCTGGGGCCGTCAGCTCGTGCGTGGCGCTAGTGGATGGGGAGGAGAGAGCGTCGCTCTAGGACTGAGAAACAACCAACCTCGTTTTCTGATCAGCGCCCTCACTGGCTGAGGACTCTTTAGGAGCCGCAGGGCCGTCATTACAAGCGTCAAAAGCAAACTTCTTCACGTCGTCTTTGCTATCTCGCGGCTCAGGGCTCGGGGCAGCCGGGGGTCGCGCCAGCTCCTGGCTGGCGACGTCCGCGAGCTCGGCGGCCACGCTACTCTGCTCAACTGGCTCCTCGGGCCCTACAGGCCCGCGGTCTGGCCCGGCTTCGCCTCCAACTGCAACTGCAACTGCGCCTCCGCCCGGCTCCGCCGCCTCCCTTTTCACTACCGCTAACGGGGCGTCCGCCTCGCTCCACTGACACCGCGTCTGAGCACGTGCAGCAGACTCGGCCTCGCCGCGGGCCAAAGCTAAATCTCCCTCCTCCTCCTGCTCCTCCTCCTGCTCTTCCTCTTCCTCTTCTTCCTCCTCTTCCGCGGGGCAGCAGCTCTCAAAAAGGTCCTCTTCTTCCGCCGCCTTCCTGTCCGGCCCCACGCTACTCGGGGCCTGGGCAAAGGGCCGCTCCAGCTCCGAACCTTCTTCTTTTCCTGGCTCAGATTTACAAGTTTCCCCCAAAATGTCGAGTATTTTCTCATTTTCTACGGATTTAACGGGAATAGAATGGCACAAGGTTTAATCACCAGGGAAACAAAGCAACGACAAGTGCGGCTCGGGCGCGGCGCCGCCACCACGCCCACTGCTACTACACAGAGATTGGAAAACCCGCTGCGGCGCTACCTGCCCGCCACCGGGCTCTATGCTACGGGCAGAGGACAGTGTCCCGGAGCCTTCACCCCACAACCTTCTGTGTCTTGAGTCTTCGTCCTGTGTGCTGACAGCGCTTCAATCTTCGGGTTCAGCTTGAGTTCAAGGTGCCTAACCAAGTGCTGGCCTTCACTCCTCTAGTACCACACACAGTGCTTTGCTTTTGTGACAATGTCCTGAGTGCATGTCTTCTGGTGGGTGCAGCTTGGCAGTCCCGAGGGACAGTATGTTTTTGCCATTGTCTCGCGGGAGCGCTCTCCTCTTCGGGGATCCGGTCATGGCAAGTCCACATGGCATTCCCTAGCTCCCTAAGCTCCCTGCACCACGATTGTGGTGAGATGCTGCCAGTATCACAAGATCCGCCAGCGATCAGTGCCAATCTGGAGCCCACGGGTACGTGGCGGGCCATCATGCCCGCCCCTTCTGTGAAAAGGCAGGAGAGCAGGTCTCCGCTATATGGTGCTCACAGGCTGCCGGTCACGTGCACAGATCTGGTGATACGGCTGGGTTTCCAATCTCTATGGTCCTGGTGTGCTGTGGACTGCACAGCGCTAGCGCATTGCTCGCTAGAGTGTGGCCACTGGTTAGAATAGCCTCCCCGCTATGGGAACCCGCTGCCAAGCTCTGCATTGGACAGTACCTGGCTCCAGGGACGCGTCCTCCATGTCCTGCAACAGAAAACACAAGTCAGACAGGGCCAGGCAGCCCGGAGCCCACACCCCACTGTAGACCTGCCTCTGAAACCCACTGCCCTTGGTGCCTGCTCCGCTCAGGACTGGCTCCCTCTGCACTGAACTGCTGACATGGAGGACGGCAGGGCTGGTATACACCTGCCCGAATCTACCTGCCTGGCACACCCACAGACCTCACTTCCACCAGCTGCTTCCTGAGCGCTTTAGGGCGGAAGGGGATGGCTCTCCCACCCTGGGCACTCGTCCCCACCATGTCTACTGTCCCCAGGAAACCCCGCCTTGGGGCTGAGCTCGGCCTTCCTGGCATGGATCCCCCATCTCTGTAGACAACACCCTGACTCAGGCTCCACTTGTGAGACACCAAGGCACAAGGAGACACTGTTCTCTATGGCAGCCAGGGCAGTGAGCATAGAAAGGCTGGCTGCTGTCAGCACCTCTAGACAGAGCAGGAGCCGAGCTGAGGGCTGCAATTCTGAGATAGCCTTGCATGTGACCTGGAATCTGTGTGCTCAACAGTGGGGACAGGCACCTCCTGTCTCTCTTCCCTGAAGACAACCCTAATGCCGTGGGAAGACCCTAGCTCTGCGTCTTTCCTCTAGGGCCTGGCCTCCCCACAACCTGTACACCCAGGGAACTGAGCTCTAGATGCAGAACACACTGGCGAGTGCTGACTCCTCAGGTGCTGTCTCCAAGTGTCTCCAGACAGCTGCACCCCATGCAGATACTCCCAGCCAGGAAAGCGCTGCAGCTGCCTTGGTGAGACAGAGGCTGATTCGTGCCTTGCCTAGTGGCCATTGAGCAGCACAGGTGACAGCTGTGCCACTGCCACACAGCACCTCCCAGGGGACCGAGACCCACAGGGACCAATTCGTCCACAGCTCTCACCTGCCGGCTCTAAGGTTACACGTTCACAGTCCGGGACCACACAGCCACCGAGACAATCACTCGGGCAGGGTCTGAGAGGCTGCCCCGTGGTGGCCATGACCTTACAGGCTGGGCATCTGCACCCCAACACCACAAAATCTGGCCTTGTGGGAACACGGAAAGGAGACCACCCAAGGTGGTGGGCTGGAGCCCAGCACTGAACAGTACAGCGGCCTTTGAGGTGTATATGGACGCTGCTTAGGAGACCCCAACAAGTTCCTGCACTGTCATGTGTCCACAGATAACCCAGAAATAGTGAAGGGGAGAAGCAGTAGGGAGAAGCCTGCCACCACAGCAGTCCTTCCCGTCCTCAGGGGCTGGGGATGGAAGACATGGGGACCCACAGCCTGAGCCGCACCTAGGCTCTAGGCTCTTCTCACAAGCTTTCCGTGCCTGTCATTCTGCTGTGGCCAGAGTACCCAGGGCTGAGCACCGGCTCTGAGGAGGCAAGTTGAGGACAAAGGCTGGTCGGAGGCCTCACAGGTGTCAGGACATGGACCCTGGCTCCCCTGGCTGCCAGGTGACCAGCTGCTTCCAGAACCTGTGGCTGATCTGAGTTAAAACAGACAGACAATTTACCTGCAGGATGGTGAAGTCGGACGACGACGTGTCCACGTTGTTAATGGCTTCCTTGTCTTCAACCTGTGGGATGAGAAGAGAGCATTTCACAGTGGCTGTGGCAAAGGGACAGCTCGGATTCCTGCAGCCTCTGCGGCTCAGGCAGCTGCCCTGGTCTTCTAGAACTCCGCTGCAGAACAGAGTCCAGCTCTGGCTGCGCCACCATTGCTAGTGGACTGCTGGCTCTAGGCACCATGCACGGCATGGCCACAGGCGGTCCAATCTGCAGAGGCCTGAGAGCTCAGCAGCTGAGGCCAGGTATCCCCAGGAGATGGCTCCCTCTGCCCATAGCCAGGACAGTCCACAGCACACAGGACATCTGCTCAATGCCACCCCACCTCTTTCTTCCCCAGATTCTACTGTGTCCTGGGGTGTGAGGTACATGCCTCAGAGCCTCGTGCCCCAAAGACCACACCAGCGTCATTTGCGGGAGCTAGGGTACCAGCACCTTGCCTATCCCATACCCCCTCTCAGAGCCCCTTAGTGCCGTGTACCTAGCCTGTTTTTTTGTGTGCTGTGTCCTGAGGCAGTGTCCCCAGGGCACCCTGATGCGTGCTATATTCTGGGCACTGATACTCTAGGTCAGCAGGCAAGTCTGTCTCAGGCTATGTGGGCTGAAGTCTTGGGGTGACACTGAGCTCTGGCCCTGCAGGGTGGCAGCAGTCACTGAGGTCACATACTCAGTGTTCTCACAAACTTGATTAACAGAGTAGGTATGAAGAGACACCCAAGAGTTACTGGGCCTCACACTTGTGATTTCGGTGACTGAGGCCCAAAGGAGACCTGAAGGCTGCTTGAGGTCACACAGGGTTGGTGATGACTCTCACGCCACCATGCTCCCATCAAACCACCCAGTATCTGGCAGACCCAGGACACTTCTGAGCTGAGAGCTCTCTGAGGTCCTTTCTGCAACACGGGTGTGTCTTGGTCACCCTGCACAATGAAACCCCTACCCAGAGCCTGCACTTCAGCTCAGAGTCAGTCCCAGGTAATAGGTGCTGACTATGGGAAGAGGGGATAGATGGCCAGACTCCAGCAAGAGGCCAAGACAGGTCTCTGCTCCTCTCAGGCAGATAGCAAGCTGTGTGATGAAAGCTTGGGGCAGAAGTGATGGGCACCCAGCACAGAGTCGGCCAGTGGCCTGTGCACCTGCCTCACACCCAGCAGGGCCCCATCAGCTGGGGCGCTCCTGGCCCCTCTCCACGTCCTGACCCTAGCACCAGAGTCACAGTGCTTGTGCTGCAGTATTCCCAACACAGCACAAACTTATTACAGCTGGATGTGCATTTCTAGTGGAGAAGCCACGGTTGCAGAGACAGGCCAGGGATGGGCATGGGGAGGATGCAAGGCTGTCAGCAGCTAGTGTGCCTGTACTCTGCCATGTGAACACACAGGAGGTGAGTGTGATGATGGCATTTCTGCATGCCTGCCCCCAGGCACAGGCTGCCCATCATGCAGAGCCAGGACCACAGAGCCCAGTGATGATGTCTGCTACCTACCACGTGCCCCCGCAGGCTCTCTGGCAGTTCCTTCCCACTGGCCTCCGGCAGCTCCCTGTCACCTAGGCCCTCAGGGAGCGTGTCGGCCTCCTCCTCCTCTGCACAGTCTGCCATGCTGCCATTGTCGATGTCCGCCTCATCCAGCACACTGATGTCCATCATGTCCATGTCCTGCAGGTTCTCCAGGCTGGTCTCCACATCCTCCTGCGACACACAATGCTGCTGTGACAGGCTGGGAGGCCACCTCCATGGACATTCCATCTGCTGACAGAGCAATACCTACCTGTCCATCCCCAGAATTCTCCTCCAGCCCGTTGTCCTCCGCACCCTCATCTTCTGGTTTCCGCCCTGGAGAGACAGCATATGGGCATGAGACCACACGCCCCCCCCCAGCCTGTCTTGAGGTCTTGGGGTGCACATCTGCAGTCTCTTCTCCCTGTGTTGGGATGGAGAACTACCTGGGGCTCTCGGCTGCCTGTGGAAACACCCATCTGGACTGTGGGCAGGACCCTTTCCTGAGCAGGGGGCCCCAGTCTATGTGAGCAACAGGGTCCCAACCTCTGCAGGCTGTGGAGGCCACGTGACCAGCTGCTTCAAGCTTCTGCAGCCAGAGCCCTGCTCCACGATGGACTGTGACCCAAACTAAAGCTGCTTTGTCAGAAGACTTTACCACAGTAATAGGAAAGAGAGGCAGACAGTAGACAACAGTGTGACATAAGCAGGCTTCTGCAGCTCCCATGAGATAATGCTGTGAGCAAAACACACAGGCATAAGGTGTGTGCAAGGGGCAAGGTAGAAGGCTCAGCCGGAAAAGGTGCTTGATGCCAAGCCTGACCACTTGAGTTCAATCCCTGGGAACCACACATGGGAGGATAGAACCAACTCCCACAAGCTGTCCTCTGACCTCCACACATGCTCAAAATAAATGCAATAAAGATGTCTGTGTGGGCTGGTCATGGTGGTGTACACCTTTAATCCCAGCACTTAGAAGGCAGATCATGAGTTCTGGCCAGGTTGGTCTACACAGTGAGACCTAGTCCCTTCCAAAAAAAAAGGGAGAAAAAAAGGGTTAGGCTCAATGTGCCTTCAGAAAATAGATGCACACATTCTCCGGTCCTCAGTGTCTGGTGTCGGCACTCTTCCACAGCACTCTTGACAAGCGTCATGCACAGCTGTCTGTTCCTCTTGCTTGGCTTGTGGCAGACCTGGGCACTCACTCCCAGCAGCACTGTGCGAGGACTAGACACACTGGAGTAAGGCCCCACACCTCTGCCCCGGCCTCATCACTCTGGCACTCAGGCCAAGACAGGAGGAAGGAGTTAGATAGAGGCTAGCCAGGCCTACACAGTGAGACCCTGTCTCCAAACAGCAGACCAATCAGCAGATGAGCAGTGCTCGGATACTATCCCCTCCTGTCATCATCACCCAGGCTCAGCGGGCTTCAGTGGACACTTGGACAGACGGTAGGGCCAGCGCCTTCTTTTACTGAATGCATTTTACAAGCACCTATTTTAACCTGAATTCTAAAAAAAATTTTTTTTTTTTTTGGGGGGGGTGGGTCTTTGTGAAACAGGGTCTCCCTGTAGCCTCAGCTGGCCTGGAACGCACTATGTAGACCATCCTGGCCTCGAACTCACAAAGTGTTGGGATTAAAGGTGTGTGCCACCACACCCGGCTGAATTTAAATCTCTAACAGACTGTCCGCTTTTGTGAAATTCTGTCCCTTCTCTCCTGCTCATGTTGAAACTCCCAGTCCACCTGCCCTCACTCCAGACCAGAGTCACACGCACCCTCCCTGTCCTGACTTGGCTTGGGATGAAGAAGTCTCCCTCCCCATTGCAACCACCACTCCCTTCATGAGTGGCTCCCTTGGTATGTTCACGATTACACCCTCCCACCTCCATCCCTGAACTACACACTGCAACCAGGTCTTTCAGAGTGTGCGTCTTATTAACTTTAACTAATGAAGGAATTTTTTTTTTTTTTTTTAAGCAGGGTCTCCCTGTAGCTCCAGCTGTCCTGAACTCACTATATAGACCAGGCTGGCCTTGAACTCACAAAGATCTGCCTGCCTCTGCCTCCCAAGTGCTAGGACTACAGGTGTGCGCTACTACGCCCAGCAGGGAATATGTTTTAAAGGTTTTAAAAGTTTGTTTGCCATTTATTTACTTATTTCACATATTGGTGTATCTCATATACACACATGGTAGTCAGAGGACAACTTGCAATGGTCAGTTCTCCTTCTACTGCATGGGTCCTGAGGATCGAACTCTAGTCATGAGGCTTAGCAGGAAGCTCCCTGACCTCTGAGCCATCTCGCCCCGTCCCTAAGAAACAACCTAAAAATAGCAAAGCCTGAGGCAGGACAGTGGGGCACGACAAAATTCTTGGGCCTCCTGTGCAACTTAGGTGCCCCTCCTGACAGGAGCAACAGGAACTTTTCAGGCTTCTGAGCATCCCGGTAATATAAGGACAGTATATATTTATCTGCCCACTTGGCAGCTAACCTTGTATCTCCAGAATCTGCAATACTCAGAGGAAGCACCACAGCACCCAGAACCCCCAACCCTGGTCCCCAGGTAGAACCCACTGCTCTGCACCAGAGGCAGGCAGATCTCCGTTGAGTTCAAGGCCATCCTAGTCTACATAAGACTTCTAGGCCAGGTGGGGCTACAGGGAGACCCTGTTTCAAAAAGACTGAAAAGCATGGGGTCCGGACTGTGTGGCATGGGCTGCTGTAGGTAACCGCACTGCACACTTGTGAGGTGCCCAGCTGGAGGCCCTGGCAGCAGTGGTGTCACAGAGAACACAGGCAGCAGGGGTTCCATGGGCATGGCAGACAACTAAGCAGGCCTGGGGGGGGGGGGGGGGGCGCGTCAGCCTCCCGGGTCTGTTCCTTATAGAATGACAGGGGACTCCAGCAGAACCTGCCCTACAATTAGGGGGTGGAGAACTGTTTGCCTTGGCGCACCTGGCCCGAGTGATCTGGAATTCACTGTGATCCTCCTGCCTCTGCCTCTTGGGTACGGCAGTCCCGGGATCCCGGCCACCTCCAGTCCTGGCCTGATGGTGTCCTGTAAATAGCCAGCCTTGGGGTGTCCCCGGGGCTCTCGGTCCATTCTGAGCAGTTGGCAGCAGGCGTCTCCCCCCAGCTCCCTCAGCCCCTGGCACAGGCCCCGTGGGATTTGGTTGCTAGCCCTCTTCCTGCCAGGGGATGCTTGCTCACCTGCACCTGCCACCCGTCCCCCGCTGGGACTGAGGGACCTTCCTTTCCACCCCTGGCAGTGTGCAGTGTTCTCAGTCTTTATGCTGCAGCACTTTCAGAGGTCTGCTACGTGCCTTTACTTCTACAAATTTCCTGCGTGTGCCTGTGGTGGCCGTCAGGTGTCCAGCTGCACCTTACCCCTTGACACACCGAGCTGGGCTGGCAGCAACAAGCCCCACCATCCTCCTGTCTCTACAGGCATGTGGCTTGTAATCTGGGTGCTAGGGACTCGAACTCAGGTCTTCATGCTTGTGCCGCAAGTGTTCTTAGCCACTTGAGCAGTCCCCCTGCACCTTCATCTCTCGTGTCACTTGCTGACCAAGGCCTGTAACCTCTGCATGACTGACTGCCTTTCTTTCCCGCTCTGGTCTTATCCTTTCTGGCCTTCTGCACCGCTGGTCCTACAGCCAGTTGCTGAGCTCCAGGTTCGGTGAGAGGTCTCACCTCAAATGACAGAGGGCTGATGAGAGAGCTTGGCCTGCTGCCAAGCCTGACAACCTGAGTTCAATCCCTGTGACCCACACACGGGGGAAGCGCAGAGCTGACCCCTGCAAGTTGTCCTCTGTCTGCAGCCACGTTCTCCACACCCACAGGCACCTGTCACCAGCACTGTGACCCCTACAGACAGGATCAGCCCTCAGAACTATTTTAAGAGCTCTGTGAAAACTGCTATGGAGTGTGGAGGGAACTGCAGATAGAGTTCTCTAGAATCTCAAACTACCGAGTGCATCCATGAAATGCCATGCTTCTGAGCCCCAGTCTTGGAAAGATGCAGCAACAGGGTATCTGGAGAGACATCACGAAGGCTGAGTGGGAGCTGGCGAGAGGGACTCAGGGAAGCATGGTCTCTACGATATTCTGGTTTGTCCCAGCTCACACCAACTCACTCAAGTAAAAACGAAGCACACGAATCGCACCACCAAGAATAAAGCCAACACCATCACATCACCCTGCACAATGATGGCACAATGCGCTGTGTGACTGAGGAGAGCTGTCAATCACAGCACAGTCCGGCAGCTGCATGGAACAGGCAACAGCGGGGCCGAAGCAGACAGCGACCACAGCGGGCAGCCTGGGTACAACCACGCAGTGCTGAGCCCGTGACCCACCACAGTGAGGTAGGTAGGGGCTGCACAGGAAGCATATGGCTGGGGCTACAGCGGGGAGAACAGGAGTTCACGGTCATCCTGGATTACAATAGCTAAGTGGAGGCCAGTCTGGGCTAACAAGACCTGGCGTCAGGATTAGCCTGCAGCAACAACAGCCTTCTCGTTATGGGTGGGCTCTGACCCACATGGCCTGCTGGAGAGCCCAAGGACCTATTTTAGAACACCAAGACTCCTGATCCCCAAACTAGTAACTTAGCATGCCATGCCTTCCCTCCCTCCCTCCCTCCCTCGCCTGATGTGATGGCAGACGCCTGCCATCCCAGTTGCTTGGGAAGCTGAAGCAGAAGAGTGCCTGAGCCCAGGGGTTTGACATCACACTAGGCACCACAGCGGGACCCCATCCCAGACAGAACAGTGCACCTGAGGGACTTTTAGGAGGCACTTCCACCTCAGGGGACAGGAGGGAGGCCAAGCTGCACCACACACTCACAATGGAAGCACAGGGGTTAGGCTACTGAGAGAGAAGGTGACCCGGGGCCAGCAAGAGGGTTCAGCAGGTAGAGAAGTTTGCAGCCAAGCCTGACAACCTGAGTTCGACTCCTGGGATCCAGATGGTGGAAGGAGAGAACCATATCCTGCAGGTTGCCCTGACTACAGGCATGGCACAGGTAGTGTGCAAACACACAAAAGAAAAATACAGACACTAAAAGAACAAGGCCACATCAGTTCTGTGGCATTAAGGCAGTAATTTTTTTTTTTTTTTTTGGGGACAGGGTCTCACACTGTAGCTCAGGCTGGCCTCAAAGTTGCAGCAATCCTCCCGCCCTCAGCTCACAGTGCTGAGATTACAGCGAGAGCCACTCTGCCCATCACACATATTTTGTTTGTTTTTTGGTGTGGGGCTGGAGGTGGAACCCAGGTCTCATGAATGGAGGGCAAGAGCAAAGCGTGAAGTTCCATTAGGAGCAGAGAAAGAAAAGGGTGTGAGATTCCCAAGAGCAGGACCAGTCTGGGTGTGCATGTGCGGCCAGAGGCGGTCTGGTACCCTCTACCTCACTCCCTTGAGACAGGGTCTGACAACCTGCAGCTCAGTCTAGGGGCAGCAGGCCAGCAAGCTCCTGGGACTGTGCTGTGTCCACCTCACAAACACTGGAGTCATAGACATGTACAGCCACACACAGCTAGCTTATATAAGGGTGCTCAGGAGTTGAACTCAGATCCTCAGGTGTGTGCAGCAAATGCTTTACACACTGAGTTGTGTCCTCAACCCAGGAATAGCTTGCTTTTGCTTTTATACAAAATCACACACATACAATTATGACTGGACACACAAGAAGGCCTGTACATGCCCCAGTTTTCACTCATGTGCTGACTCTGGGAAGGAGCGCCACCTTTTACTTAAGTTCAGACACTTTGTGAAACATCAGGGCATGTTTACTAAACACACAAAGCAAGTGTGAGGAGACCCAAGAGGTCTTACCCAGCAGTACCATCTTCAAATCAGAAACTCCTGGTGCCCGGGATTTCAGAAAGGTGACACACGGGCTCCACCCAGCCCCAAGGACAGACAGGGAAGCGAGGGCTGAGGGAGTAGCCAGGAGGGTGGCCTGTGGGAGAGGTGCTCACAGATAGACCCTTGGCTCTGGGGTGTCTCTAAAGGGCTGTAGCCTGTGGGAGAGGTGCTCACAGATAGACCCTTGGCTCTGGGGTATCTCTAAAGGGCTGTAGCCATGCTGTACTGCTCCTTGGGTGGTACGAACACTGTATGTGGAGTTGAGGGGCGCACAGGCATGTCTCCCACATCCCCAAAGGACAGTGATACCTTTGCCAGGTCTCTTGGTCACCTTCTTGTTTCCCTCCGAGGTGACTTCAATCTCATCAGGATCCCCTCCTTCATCTTCGATAGCCTGGAGAGGGGAGGAGAGAAGGAAGGGAGGGGGTGAGACCACCGGGGCACACCAGGCTGCGCTGTCAGCCTCACCACAAGAGAGACCCCGAGTCCAAACAGCCACAGAGGGCGTCTGGGCAGCGAGAACCGAGAGTACCACTGCTGAACCCCACATGGGGCCAGGGCTCTGGTGACACAAGTGCCCCAGGCACACCGACCTCACCTATTGCTCCAACTTTGCTTCTCCCTGGACACACAGGACCCCTGAGTCCTGCTCATCTCTGTTAGCCTTTCCCTGTACACCTGAGACCAGAGGTGGCTGGCATCCTGCTGCCATCCTCCACCTTGTTTCCCTGACACAGGTCACTTGCTAGAGCTGCACGCAGGCTGGCGGCCATCAAGCCCCGGCCATCCCTGTACCCTCCCCAGTGCTAGGCTCACAGGGGCGCGAGGCCACACCAGGCTTTTTATGTGGGTGCAGGGATTTGAATTCAGGTCTGCATCCTCTTACCCACACTGTCACCCCAGCCTCCTACCAGGCTAGCCAGGGGCTGTAAGCCATGGAAATGATTCTCAGCAGGTCCTGGGGTCCCCACCACCCTATCCCTGTGGCAAAGAAGCCCAGTGTCCTTGATTTAGACCTAATGGTCCTCCATGCCATAGCTGTCAAGAGACACACTGGCCCCAGTGGTCACTGGGTTCTTCGGTGCTGACCCATCCCGGCCTTGAGACCCCAAACTCACCCTCAGGTTTCCCCATGGGTACATAATGGGGTTGCCCAAGGCGCAGGAGACAGAGTCTGCCCTGGGGTGACAGGGTGGACCCAGGGAGCAGCACTGCTGCCCTCTTGGGCCTCTGCAAATCCCTCCAGCAGCTGTGCCTCTGCCCACTGCCAAAAAACCAGGACACGGCTAGCTAGAGGCCACAAGCAGAACCATGGGGGTTCATCCTGCCTCACCAGACAGCTAATGCTGAGACTGCTGGTAGTTCCCTGGCAGACCAGGCAAAAAGGGTAAGACCCTTCATTGGAGACCCAGAGCAGCGGCCCCTTCCTGCATCTGGCAAGTTCTTGGGCGAACAAGTCCTGCCCAGCCCAGTAAGGATTTAGGGCATCCATGGGAAATACACAGGCTCAGTGGGCACATGCCTGTCCTGCGTATGTGAAACCCTGTGCACTATCCTCATCACCACACCCACCTCCCAGCCTATGTGCAAGTGCCATATGCACATGCTGTGTCTTCCATGTGAATGTGGACGTGTGTCATACGGGTGTGTTCCATGTGCAGCGTGTGCAACAAACATGTTGGGCATATGTTCCGTGAACAGATATGCAATGTGTACACGTTAGGCAGATATGCATTTATGCCATAAACACATGCCTTGTGTGCTAGGTGGGTGTGTACCTGTGCCACTGTGTGTGCACTGCCAGCCTGGGAGGCCTCAGCCGCCACTCCTCACTGTCTACCTTGTTTAGAGATGGTGTCTGTACCTCCCCAGCACCCTGCCTGGCCTTTCCCTGCATTTTCAGTGGCTGCTAGGGGTAGAACTCAGGGCCTCACGATTGCAAGGTGGGGATATGACCTGTGGAGCCACTTCCACTGAACTGACTGTTGGGGTCTGGGGGCCCAGGAGGGTGGAGGGTTGAGCCCCTCTGTGCTGGGGGTTAGAGGGCAGCTGCTCATAGTGTGTGGGGGAACCTGTGAGCCCATTCAGCTTTCCACACTGGGCTGAGTACTCCTGTATCAGCTTTCCACACTGGGCTGAGTACTCCTGTATACACAGCTTGTTTACCTCACCAAATTGCCACCACTTTCTTATGCAAAAAGGGATTTAAGGGTCTCCAGCCCCAAGATCAAGGCTTCCAGGCAAAGTGAGACTGCTCTTTCAGAGTCCTGACCCAAACCTCATGGCATCTCAAATGCCTTCACTTGGAACTCACTATGTAGACCAGGCTGGCCTTGAACTCACAGAGATCCGCCTGCCTCTACCTCCCAAGTGCTGGGATTAAAGGCATGTACCACTACGCTGGCTTTTTAAAAAAATCATTTTATTTATTCTATTTATGTGTATGTGTGTATTGCTTGCATGTAAGTAAGTGCACCACTGTCATGCAATGCCCATGGAAGACAGAAGAGGCCGTCGGAATCCCTGGAACTGGAGTTACAGGAACAGTTGTTAGCTGCCATGTGGGTGCTGGGATTTGAACCCAAGTCTTCTGCAAGAACAGTGTTCTTAACTGCTGAGCCACCTCTCTAGCCCTGCGTGTTTACTTTTTATGCAATGCTGGGAGCTTTTGTAAAATGCTAGGTAAGCGCTCTACCACCAACCTATGTCCTCGGTCTCCTCTTCTATTCTGAAACAGGGTCTTGCTAAGTTGCCCAGGCTGGCCTCAAACTCCCTCTGCAACCCAGGACAGTCTTGAACTCTTTCTTTGTCCCAGGCTGGCCTTAGAGCCCATAGATAACCCAGGCTTACGTTGATCTCAGTCTACAGCTCAGGGTGGCCCTGAACTCCCTCTGTAACCTAGGCTGACTGACCCTGAATGCCATTTGTTACCCGAGCTGGCCCTGAGCTTCCTCTTGCAGTTCAGGATGGCCTTGAACTCACAAGGAACATACCTCATCACTGAGAAACCGCTCGTCCTTCCTGTCACATGCCTGACAAATCACCCCCTGGGCTACCTCCTCCAGCTCATCAACTCTGAGCGTGCTTAGGGTTGGCATCACCCCATAGGTCACGGTTTGTCGTCGAAGAAAAACACCCAGTTCTGACTCGGGAGCTGGAGAAGCAGGCTCGGCCCTGGGTTCTAAACCATGCATAACCTGACCCCGCCGGGTGACCTTGGCCGAGTCCCTTCAATTCCTGTTCACACAGAAAGGCGCTGGTTTCGGGGTTGGGAAGAGGCAGAGCGGCGAACCCGCCGTCTCAGGTCCCCAGGTTCCCGACTGCGGTTTTCAGTACTTTCTTCCGGTCGCGCCCGTACGGCGCAGGCATTCGAACCCGCGTCCTGGATGCCCGAGCGGAAGCACGCGCTGTGAAGGCCGCGGGCCGGTCGGACCCCGCGATGGGCGTCGCCATGGCGACCGCAGATTTCCCCCCCCCAGCCAAGCTCACCTTCCGCAGCCGCTCCATCAGCACGCTCTTGTTGCCGCTCGAGTCGAGGTTCCGTTTCCGCAGCTCCGCCCGCAGGTCGATCACCCGCAGGTCGCTGAGCCGCCGCGTCCCGGTCTCTGACGACGCGGAGCTCACGGCCGCTGCGCCCGCCGCGCCCGAATCTCCTAAACCCGACAGAGTCTCCGCCATTCCAGGGACCCTGGTTCCGTCGCCCGCTTCACACAGAACCGGGTCGGTGGGCTTGTGTGTGTGTGTTTTTTGTTTTTGTTTTTGTTTTTTTTTTTGAATCTCAGCTCTCTTACCACAAAATGGCGCCGCCTGAGAGGGAACCGCTCCAGCCTCCCCCGCGGCGCACCTCGTCACTGCGCAGGCGTGCCCGGCGCGAGACCCACGCCGTGCGACGCCGCTGCACAGGCGCCGAGAGCGCGTCGACTGAGCTGCGCGCAGGCGCGTTGCTACTCGCCCGTCTCCCACCCCGGCGACCGGCGGCCGGTGACGCATGCGTGCTGCAGTTCTGGCGCCTGCGTGTTGAGGTGAAGGGCGGCAGCTTGGTCAACCTGCAAGCGAACCGCCGTCTAAGGCGGAGCTTCAAAACGGTGCGCGTGCGCAGCCGGAAGGCGAGGCGGCAAGAAGACCGGAACTGTGGGTGAGGCAGTGCTCAGTAGAGTGCGCAAGCGCAGCAGGGAAGTGAGGCTTGAGGCCAGAGTCTGCGACTGAGACGTGACGTCAGAGAGATGCGCATTCGTAAAGCAGCTCGCGGTGGGAAGAAGGCGGTGACTACGAGAGAGGCGGTGCTTTAACGTGGAAGGCATGCGCAGATGAGGAGCGAGGTCAGAGGTTGTCGGCGTCTGGGACCCAGTAGTTTCTGAGCGGCGCGCATGCGCTACCGCAAAGCGAGGCGGGAGGAAGCGAATGCGTCTTCCTCTTAGGCGGCGCCATTTTGTGCCCCGAGCTGCCACGGCCGCCGTTGGTGTGTGCGAAGCTTCCGGGCGCCGGTGACAAGGGTCGACGAGGCGTGAGGAGGATGGCGGAGACGATGAGCGGCTCCGGTCCAGTCGTCTCGGAAGTCGGGACGCGACGTCTCAGCGACCTGCGGGTCATCGACTTGAAGGCGGAGCTGCGGAGACGGAACCTGGACACGGGCGGCAACAAGAGCGTGCTGATGGAGCGGCTGAAGAAGGTGAGTGGGGCGCGGGGGACCCGGCCACCGTGAGCTCATGCAGACGCGGGGATGCCCCCTCAGCCCGAGCCCCCTCTCGGGGAGAGCTGTCAGGCCCCCGCGGGGGCCCCGCTGTGTGACCTTGGCCCGTCGCTACCCCTCTCTGTGCTTTGCTGGCCACGCGCTCTGCAGCCGTGCACGTTTAGTTGCGCACGCAGCCGGGTATGCTGGGGAGCACGGGGGTGCTGGACGTGTTCCCCGTCAGCGCTGCCATGACCTTGCCTCTGGAACCGTCCCTTTCCAGCTGCACCTCGGTTTCCTCCCCTGGAGAAAGGCTATCCATCTCCGCAAGGCCCCACCCTGCCCCAGAGATTTTGCACCTCCCTCGGCCGTAATGGGTTTGGCGTGTCTCTGGTTGGGAGCCCCCAGTTGTCATCTTGGGGTGACACTGTGGGAGATGTTGCCTCCCTGTTCCTCTCCATCGCCTCCTGTCTTGACATCCATTTTTTGGCACTTGACACAAAGTTGCATGTGTGGGACCTAGGACCTTGAGGGTTGGGGACTTAAGTGGCAGGCAGGTGGAAGGTGCCAGAATACCCACAAGTGAACAACTACCAGCCTGCTCCTTTCCCTCGCTTGTTTGTTTTTTTCTTGAGACTGCATCTCTTGTAGCCCAGACTGGCCTCAGACTCCTGATACTCCCTGCCTACGCTTCCCAAGCGCTGGGATTGCAGGTGCATGCACCATCATGCCTGGCTAACCATGGCCTTTTGAACTGCACCAGCCCTTTACACTGCAGGATCCAAGTGGCTTCTCCATCATGGTCTCTGTGTGTGAGTGATTGGCTGTGGACATCTGGAGATGAGTGGTCATTTTGTGACTGGTCACAGACTCCCAGTTTTTGATACAACTTCATTTTTATTATTATTTGGTAATACTTGAGTTTTGTGTTTTTGTTATTTCTATTTTATTTTTCTGGTCAGTGCAGGGCAAATGCTGAACCCACAGCCCAGCTGACGTCAGCTGTGCTCCGCCCCTCAGACCCCCTCATCCTTTGTCTTTGGGCTCTTGAGCCTGCAGGAGGAGGGAGTTGTTCTGGGTTCAGCCTGTGTTGTTTTGGAGGCCAGAAGCCCAGTTGGAAACAGATGCCGCCTGCAAGGGCCCATTTGCCTGTCTTATCTTGGAGGCCACTGTTTAGAACAGCTCCTGCCAGGGCCCTTAATAAATAACTTTGTTTTTAAATGTCCACCCTCTCTCCTTCCAGGCAGTTAAGGAAGAAGGGCAGGAGCCTGATGACAGAGTGGACATGGAAGACACAAGCAAGAGGGCCACAAAGAGATGCGCTAAAGGTATCCACCGATCTGAACGCTGAGCCTTCGGAATTCAGGCTGGCTCCTTCTTGCTTGGGGAGTAGCCAGTGTGAAAGGTGCAGGAGGAGCCAAGAGATGCATCATCTGGTCGCCTCACCTGTAGAACACAGTGAGGCTCATATTATTATGGCTGGGCTGAGTGCCAGCCACACCAAGCAAAGTGATGCCAGGGGCCTAGGTTGACTGTGGGGGTCAGGCACCCGGCCTGTTTGTATTGAATTTTATTAATCACATGGGGGATGCAGTGTAGAGATCAGAAGACAACTCTGTGGAGTCAGTTGGCTCCTTGCTCTCCTTGGTTTGGGCCTTGAACTCGGGTCATTAAGCTGGCATGACAAGTGCTTTAATGGCTGAGCCATGTTGCCAACCCCGCCCTGTGTTTTCCCAGTCTCTATAAGTTTGTCTTTTGCTGTGCTGAAAGTGCGTAGGGGGTATGTTTCGGCCCAGGACCTTGAACATGCCAGGCTAGTGCTCACAGCCAATATGTGTAGTGCCAGCTACTTGTAATTTCTTTCTTCCTTTCTTTCTTTCTTTCTTTCTTTCTTTCTTTCTCTCTCTCTCTCTCTCTCTCGTTCGTTCTTTTCTTTTCTTTTCTTTTCTTTTCTTTGACAGGGTCTCCCCATAGTCCCAGTTGGCCTGGAACTCACTATGTAGACCAGATAGGACTTGATCTCACAGAGATCCACTTGCCTCTGCCTCCCACATGTGTATGCCACCCTGCCTGACCGTCTTATTTTTCCTAATCAGTGTCTAATTCAACACCTCTTTAGTTCTTGTGTAAGAAGTGCAATCCAGGGCTGGGGAGGTGGCTCAGTGGGGAGGCCACCTGGGTTCCCAACCCACCCATGGGAAGATAGAGACGATAAGGCAGACAGGAGTGTCTTGGGCTAGCCTTGCATACAAAGCAGGGAGCAGAAATGTACCTGTAGACAGGTGGGAACGACACCCAAGGTTGGCCCTAGCCTCTACTTGTGCACTGTGGCACTTGTAACACAAACACATACACACCAAGACATAAATCAGTAATAAACAAAGGACATAGGGTTCTGTGCTACCAGCACCATGGGAACTCTGAGATATGTTCATCACCCCAGGAGACACCTCATGTGTAACAGTGTCACTCTCCTGTCCCCATTCTGTCTATCCATGGCCATTCCTCTGAGCAGAATCTGGAAATTGACTCCTTGGTGGCCTTGTCAGGGCTTCTTGTAACAGCACACATCTCCCTTTCTCCTTCCTGTGGGTGCTAGGTGTGTGCTCTTGGGTGTGTGGAGCCTAGAGGTCAGCTTCAGTTGTCTTTTCCCCCTCTATCTTATCTGTTTTGTTTTGTTTTAAAGACAGGGTCTAGCCCAGATGGCCTGGAACTCACCATGTAGACCTGGCTGGCCTCAATCTCTGCCCGCCTCTGCCTCCTGAGTGCTGGGACTGGATAGAGATGGGCATCACCATGCTCCACCTTGTCCTTATTTTCTTGAAGGAAGCTGCAGAAAACTCCTGGTTCTCCAGGAACGTATACAGAAATTGGTAGCATTCTTGACAACTGTGGGGGGGTGAGGGGGGGTGCACATGAGTGTCTCAGAGGCCAGAGGTCGGCCTGTGTGTCTGCCCTTCCAGCTTCATCCTTGTTTTTTGAAATTGTCCCCACTTTACCTGGAAGTCACTGACTGAGCTTGCCTGACTGACCAGAACACCCAGCACTGGGATTACAAGCGTGCCCTGCACCCAGCTTTCTACATGGTGCTGGGGGTTGTGTTGAGGCCATTGTGCTCCCACAGCAGATGCTACCCCTGCAGTCGATTTTAACAGCTTCTAGAAAGGCATCTTTTCCTCAGTCCATCTGGCTAATCTAGAATCTGGAATCTTGTTACTTAGGCCCAGGCAGGAGGGTGGCCGATCCCAGGCCATCCTGGGCTATATAGCAGGACTGATGTCTCAAAAACAACTAACCGAGGGCCAGTGAGACGGCTCCGTAGGTGAAGGTGCCGTGGCCAAGCCTGCTGCCCTGAATTGGAGCCTTGGGACCCATATCGTGAAAGAGGGCTGGCTCCCGTAGGCTGTCTAAACTTGCCAAGTGCCATGGCTCAGGGCGCTGGAGTCAGTGCAGCAGTGGTTGTCACATGAGCCTGGGGAAAGCAATATCCCCCAGTGTGATCGGAGGGCACCTGGTTCTCGGCAGAGCTGGGTCTGTCCATCTCACAGCCCCAGTGGCTGCAGGTAGGTGACTGGTTCTCAGAAGACAGTTTTAATGGGTGCTGGGCCAAGTCGACTTGTGTATTTATTTGTCTCTGGACTCGGGGTCATGAGCAGTAGTACTCAATATGTCCCCTTCCAGCTGTGGATGCCTGGGCATGCTGCCTGCATTCTGTGCCATGATAGCAACTCAGTGTCAGCCCAGGTGCAGTGAGTGGTTGTGCTCAGAAGGTGGCTCTAGAGTCATTGGCTCTGGCATTCCAGAACTCAGGAGGCTGAGTCAGGAGTACTGCTGAATGGTCCATGCTGGTTTGGGATGCAGAGTCAAACCCTGCTTCCAAAATACACGTGTTGGGCCCTGGAAGTACTGGCCACTGGAAAGGGTTGTGGATTTTGTGTGGTTTGAGGTCCTAGCAGGCCACTGAGCTCTGGCCTCAGCCTCCATCTGGAGGTTTAGTCATACGCTTGAGGTTTCTTTTGTTTTGCTGGACCTCTCTATGTAGACCAGGCTGGCCTGTATATCCGCCTGCCTCAGGCCTGGGATTAAAGGCATGTGCCACCACACCCAGCCCCAGCCCCATTTTTATTCCTGTGCCTACATGAGTTCCTGTGTACTGCAAGTTTGTGTGAAGTGCCTGTAGAGGCCTAAGAGGGCCCCTGATCCCCTGGAGCTAGAATTACAGGCAGTAATAGTGAGGCACCGTGTAGGTGATGGGGACAGAACAGGGTCCTTTGCAAGTGCTCTCTATTGCCAAACCTTCTGTCCGTGGCCTACCTCCCTGTTTGAGGGTTGCATGATGTGATGGGTGTACCTGTGGTGCTGGCTTGGGGTGCCACAGACAGGAGGGTTCTGGGAAATTGTGTGGTGTCCACTGGCGTTTCCACCCTGCTGCTGTAGACAGAGGCTACGCTGTGCTCTACGATCAGGTGACATCCTGTGCATTGGCAAGTGGTACCCTTGGCATGCCTACTCCATGCTGGTCACAACCCTCAGTTACACCAGAAGGCACCTCAGACATTGCTGGGTTCTCCCATCACACATGCTAGCAAGGGGTACGCACTGTCCCCCATGAAAGACCGAGAATGGCACTCAACCTGTGGCAGACTTTTCCTTAAACAAAGTTGTAGGCCAGGCGTGGTGGCACATGCCTTTAATCCTAGCCCTTGGGAGGCAGAGGCCAGCCTGGTCTACATAGAGAGTTCCAGGCCAGCTGAGACTATAGGGAGATCCTGTCTCAAAAAGACAAAAAAAGAGAGCACTGGCTGCTCTTGCAGGGACCCAGGTTCGGTTCCCAGTACCCACATGGCGGTTCACAATCATCTGTAATCCTCCTCTGGTCTTCACAGGCATTGTACACATGTGGTGCTCTAACATACATACAGACAAAACACTCATAAAAGTTAAAATTTTTTTCAAGAAAGAATTCAGGGAGAGCTGCCAGCTGGATGTCCATTGCACATGAGCAGGTAGCCCAGGGCCTCCAGCATTCTGGGGTTGCACCCATACCCAGGCCACGTCCCAGCCCCAGCCCTTAGTGACATTCCTGTCCAATCTGCTTCTCTGTTGGGAAATGTGTGTTGTGCTGGTCACTCACTTTCTCTTTCTCTTTTGAGGCGTTTGTCTTAGTCTGTAGTGAGTTTGAGATCTTTTGAAGCTCTTATGTGGTCTCAGTGCTCTGCTAGGGCGGCTGAGGTTGGTGGCTTACGGAGACAGCAGCTGGCAGGCACTGTGGAGGGATGCCGGACACCATGGAACTGTGCTGGCCCATCACCCCGTTCCGAAGCCAGCCCCAACTGAACCGTTGTTCTGTAATTAGGACTGAAGACAGAGGAGGGAGGCAACGAGGACAATGGCCTGGGAGAAGAGTCCAGAGATGAGCAGGTGTGTGGGATGCAGGCGCGGGGGTGGCACACCCCCAACTGCAGTTGCTGACACTCATCACTCCCCTCGCAGGAGGATGGGGTCATGGGTCGGCAGAGCTGGCAGGATGGGGATGCCAGGGAAGCGGGCGTGCTGGACAGAACCAACGCCGAGGACAGCAGTGCTCCCGAGCTGGGGGCTGACTGCGCTCTCCACTCCTTCTGTGACAGTAAAGAGTACGTGGCCGCGCAGCTGGGACTCCTTCCAGCTCAGCTCCTGGAGCATGCTGTAGGTAACTTGCAGCCGCGCGTGCGCCAGTGGCCCTGGGGCAGGGCCATCGGGGCTGCCCAGCAGGGAGGGCCCAGCTAGACCCACGTCCTCCACACAGTGTCCAGACCCTGCTAGAAGCAGGCCCCACGTTTAGACCCTGCACAGGTGGCAGAAACCACCACTCTGCCATAGTGCTGGAGCCACTGGACACTGTCAACCAGAACTCGTGTGCACAGGCCGCCAGAGGTGAGACAGAAAGCTGTGCAGGCCAGGAAAGCATTTTCCTGTTCAGAAAATTTTTAAACTCTGAAACACAGTGAACAAAATGCATCTGTCACCTGGCAGTGTGGACAGAGGCTACACAGGACAGTATGTCCACGGGCACCTGCCGTCCTTTTGTGTGGCTTTGTGTGGCTGTCACAGCCTTGTGCTGATTCAGCGTGGCGGTGTTGGTTCCACTATCAAATGAACTCCCAGTGTCCCACAGAGCAACAGAGAGCCCTGGGCATCATTGACCGGCACCGCAGGTTTGCTGGGTGGCCACTAGTCAGGCCGCACTCATATCTAAGAGGGAGGAAAGGATCTTTTTATCACGTCTTGCTGAGTAGCCTAGGCTGGCCTTCAGGCAGCAGTACTCCTGTGTCAGCTCCCAAGTGCTGAGGTGACAAGCATGCACCACACCCAGCTGGGATCCGCCCTATGTTATTTTATGGAAAGATGCACAGCAGGCAGGCTCAACCACCTGCTACTCCAGCACTCAGGAGACTGAGGCAGGAGGATCGCTGCCAGTTGTAGGACAATCTGGGTTACATAGCTAGACTCTGCTCATACTGCAAGACGACTATGGGGCTCATCAGCTGTGAGCATTGGAGCCTTGTGCTGGAGCCCTGTTAACGTCTCCAATACCAAAAAGAACAAAAGTAAAGGAAGGGCTTCAAATCAGTAACTGGTAAAAGCAATGATCAGGTTGAATGTGTGTTTTAAATGGTGTGGCTCAGCAGGGAAAGGTGCTTTGTGTGCAAACCTGATGACCCGAGTTCAGTCCCCGGATCCCACAGTGGAAGATTGAACCAACTCCTGAAAGTTATCCTCTGACCTGCACATGGTGGCACGCCTGCGCTTGCACTCACATGCCTACACTCGCTCTCACACATGCCTGCACATGCACACACCTGCAGTCATGCACACACACTCACAGGCTTGCTTGCACTCACGTGCACATGCACATTTACGCTCTCACATGCCTGCAAACACTGGCGCACACACAGTCATAACAAAGCTCAATGCCGTAGCTTGAGAGGTGCCTACTTGAAGCGTTGATGGATCGAGGCTCAAGCTTGTCACTTTGATTTCTCTGGAAGGCTTGAGATCGGGCGGCTTCATTGTCCTCACTCAGCACACACAGTGGTGCTGTCTCTGCATGATGGCTGCGAGGGACATGGGCGCAGCTTGCTTAGAGAGCAGCCAGGCGCAGGCCATGGTGTCCACAGCTCTGGGCCTCCACACAGTCAGGTCCTGTCTCCTTTTCTAGGTGGGCAAGGACAGCTTCAAGAGCACTCTGGAAGCTTCAGCATCAGACCTTGGAGTAACTGCGGTGAGTCTCGTTGCTGTGCAGTGAGGGACACGTTAGGGAAGGTTGACACAGAGTGAGTGGGATAGAGGACGTGCTGTCTCTTCATCCCATGGCAGAGACCCAAGGGACAGTTGGGGGAACAGATTGATTTGGCTCAGTTTCAGGGGTTCTGGTTCAAGGTTGGGTGTCTGCCTTTGGGAGCAGAGGCCATGGCTACAGCATGGCAGCTCCACTTATCGCCACCAGAGAGCAGAGAGGGTGGAGGATGCTGGGACAGAACAGTCCCAGCCCCTCCCTGTGGTCTGTTCGGGACTGCCCACCATGGTGGGGTTGGAGCCCTTGGGGAACCACTCCATTGCGGATGGCACAGAACATGCACAGAAAGGTGATGAAAGGAGCCTACAGCAGTGCAGCGGGGTGCACTGCACAGTGGGGCCCTGGCTTGGGGCCAGAGGACAGAAACCAACAAAAAGGCAGATGAGCTCAGGAAGTGCCTGGGAAGGCTCAGAGGAATTCAAGGCTGGAATCAGTGTACCGAGTTCAAGGATGAGCATGGAGTGGCAGTGGGCCTGGGACAGTGAGGAGTTTGGTCCCCAAGGTGGAGATAGTCACTGTCTGCTGTCCTCGAGACTGTTGTTAGCAGGGGGACTGTGCCCCCCCCAAGCCCGTGCTCACAGGAGTCACCTCTGCTACTGTTGCTGAGTCATCGGTCGGTCCAGGGTTCAGGGTGAGACTTAGAGGGGTGTGTGGGAACAGGCACAGCCATGTTTGGGGATTAGAGTCTGGCCTGAACTTGGGGTGGGTGTGCTGTGTGGGATGATGGGCACCCTGTCTTCTCTCCCATGCAGGCAGATGATGGCACCCCCACGGAGGCAGGTACTGCTAAGACATGCGTCGCCGCTTTAAGCCGTGTCTATTCCCAGCTGTGTTACATAAATGGCCCAGTGGTGGCTGCTCCAGTCGCACAGGACCAGAGATTGGAAAGCCGCATATCACCAGATCTGTGAGCGTGCAGTGGCGACTTGAGGGCGGTCGTGGGCACATGCTACTCGAATCCAGCCATGCACAGTGGCCGAGAGTGACCCTTGCTCGGCTCGGCCGTGCCACGCACCAAACAGATCTCGTGATACTGCGCCGTAGCTGTGGGATGTGGGCAGTTGAGGCAGGCTGAGGCTTCGGTTGGGGCCGTCACACCAGAAGCACCCAGAAGACAGAGCCGGTGTCGGCATGAAGATGACTTCTCGTCCCTTCTGGACTGTGTGTCCCGTGGACTGAAGAGCCACTCTGTCCTCTGTGGTGGACTGTGGCGCTGACCAGCATTCAAACCTTGGGAGCTGCTCCGCCAGCCCAGCTGCACTTCAGCACCACGGACAGCGCAAGGAAGCGGAAGACGGGGCAAACCCGAAGGCTGCGGCCCTGGTTGTAGGCGGAGTGGGGGGCGCCGCCGGCGAGACTACCCGGTGGCGGGCAGGTGGCACCGCAGCGGGTTTTCCAATCTCTGTGTAGTAGCAGTGGGCGTGGTGGCGGCTGGGAGCTGCTCCGCCAGCCCAGCTGCACTTCAGCACCACGGACAGCGCAAGGAAGCGGAAGACGGGGCAAACCCGAAGGCTGCGGCCCTGGTTGTAGGCGGAGTGGGGGGCGCCGCCGGCGAGACTACCCGGTGGCGGGCAGGTGGCACCGCAGCGGGTTTTCCAATCTCTGTGTAGTAGCAGTGGGCGTGGTGGCGGCGCCGCGCCCGAGCCACACTTGTCGTTGCTTTGTTTCCCTGGTGATTAAACCTTGTGCCATTCTATTCCCGTTAAATCCGTAGAAAATGAGAAAATACTCGACATTTTGGGGGAAACTTGTAAATCTGAGCCAGGAAAAGAAGAAGGTTCGGAGCTGGAGCGGCCCTTTGCCCAGGCCCCGAGTAGCGTGGGGCCGGACAGGAAGGCGGCGGAAGAAGAGGACCTTTTTGAGAGCTGCTGCCCCGCGGAAGAGGAGGAAGAAGAGGAAGAGGAAGAGCAGGAGGAGGAGCAGGAGGAGGAGGGAGATTTAGCTTTGGCCCGCGGCGAGGCCGAGTCTGCTGCACGTGCTCAGACGCGGTGTCAGTGGAGCGAGGCGGACGCCCCGTTAGCGGTAGTGAAAAGGGAGGCGGCGGAGCCGGGCGGAGGCGCAGTTGCAGTTGCAGTTGGAGGCGAAGCCGGGCCAGACCGCGGGCCTGTAGGGCCCGAGGAGCCAGTTGAGCAGAGTAGCGTGGCCGCCGAGCTCGCGGACGTCGCCAGCCAGGAGCTGGCGCGACCCCCGGCTGCCCCGAGCCCTGAGCCGCGAGATAGCAAAGACGACGTGAAGAAGTTTGCTTTTGACGCTTGTAATGACGGCCCTGCGGCTCCTAAAGAGTCCTCAGCCAGTGAGGGCGCTGATCAGAAAACGAGGTTGGTTGTTTCTCAGTCCTAGAGCGACGCTCTCTCCTCCCCATCCACTAGCGCCACGCACGAGCTGACGGCCCCAGACGGCAGCCCGGCTGCCCGGCCAGCTCCACACACACCGCCATCTCTGCGCATTATTAGTGGGTGATTGGATTTTTCCTTGGCTCAACCTCCCACGGTTGTGTTCTTAAATTGTTAACTGTTACCGGCAGCTTAATTGGATTGACTATTAGATCTGACATTGTATTTTTGGGGTCAGGTTTTCCACCATAAGCCAGCAAAGGTGTCTGTCACATTTTTATTTCAGACTAATTTCCTGGTAGGTATTTCGTCTTAGCACATTCACACTTTAAAATTGAGTTTACTTTCAGATTGTTTCCTGTCATGAGTAACACTGGTTTTTGTCTGTAGCTTTTTTAAGGAAGAAAAGGACATAAAGCCAATCGTTACAGAAGAAAAAGGTATGATTTTCCTATGTGCATGCTGCAGTGGGTGATGTTGGGGGACGGTGGGGCCTCAAGTGTCACTCTGTGCCAGCCGCCCCAGGTATGTTTCTAAGAGCCAGCCTATGCGTGAGGGCACCCCAGACTAGTACTGCCAAATAGGGAGGCTTCCACATAGAAGGACCTGTGGTGCACTGAGGGCCGTTCACTCTGGTTGGTCCTGGAGTAAAGAGTGGCAGCCCACAGGGAAAATGCCTGCTGTGTGAGCAGGAGGCTCTGAGTTTGAGTCCTAAATCCCATGTAAAAAGCTGTGAACCTGTGACCCCAACACTGGGGGCAAGCAGGTGGGGATTCCCAGGGCTCAGTAACCAGACAGCCTGGCTCAGTGACCATGAGGTTCACTGTGATCCTGCCTCAAAAAAGAAAGTGTCCAGGGTGTGGTGGCGCACGCCTTGAGTCCCAGCACTAGGGAGGCAGAGGCAGGAGGATCTCTGAGTTCAAGGCCAGCCTGGTCTACCTTGTGAGTTCCAGGCCAGCTGGGGCTATAGATTCCCTTTAAGAAAAGTGGAGACAGTGAGGAAGACACCTGACCTTGACCTCTGAGGTCTACACTACACACATTTCCGCAAGTACAATGTGCTTTTGTACCCAGGCACACACACACACTGAACCTCGAAGCTCCTGGCCACATGCTTCCTCCTCTGTCCCATGTGGCAGTGGTCGTGCTTGCTGGGTAGGCTCTGAGCCTAGGTACCCTGGAAGCTGTCACACTCAGCCTCAGTGACACCTGACCACCTCCCTCTTCCCCAGGCTGCAGGGGCAGCAGCTCCGGAAGGAACTTGTGGGTCAGTGGACTCTCGCCCACCACACGTGCCACCGACCTCAAGAGCCTCTTCAGCAAGCACGGGAAGGTAGGGCTCTGCGCGTCCATGCTCAGGCCTAGAAAATGGTGGTTTCTGCATTCCCGAGCTCAGCCTCCAGTCCTCTTTCCTTCCGTTCTTGCTGAAGATGGAACCTCAGCATAGTGCATGCTGGGCCAGCACTCTGCTTCTGAGCTACGTCCCATCCTCCTTCTTGGTTTTCTTTTTTGTTTAATTATTGAGGTAGGGTCTTGCCGTGTGGCCTTCAGGGCCCTTGTGTAGACTAAGCTGGCCTCAAATGTGCCCTCTGCCTGCCTTGTGCTGGATGACAGACTTACACCACCATCAGCTCCCCTGCCTTGTTTGAACTTCTTTTTAAGACAAATTGTCACCAAATTCTCCAGGCTGGCCGTGAACTCACAGTCTTCATCTTGCAGCCTTTGGGGCAGCTGGGATAACAGGCCTCTGCCAGCAGGCTCCAGGACTGGGGACAGAGCTGAGTGACAGGTGGATCACCCTCATGCAGCATGCACCAAGCCCCAGGTTCCAGACCCAGCATTGCATAAACCAAATGAGCTCCCAGCGCTCGGGAGGTGGAGGCAGGAGAATTGGGAATGCAGGTCCTCTTAGCCATTTAGCCATTTAGGAAGTTAGAGATCAGCCTGGGCTTCTGAGATCCTGTCTCAAAAAAAAAAAAAAAAAAAAAAAAAAAGAAGGGACAGCCTGCTTGGTTTTAACATGGTGTCCTCATGTCCTGGCTCAGCACCCAGGGTAAGCTGGGGAGAAGATTTCGACTCATCTGAACTCTGCTGGGGATGGGGGCACCAGTGGACTCCCAAGGGCTTGGGCTGCTTCCGGCCTGTGCCAGTCCAAAGCAACTGCTGAGGGCAGTTGGCCTTCCTCTCCTGCAGTGTGAAACTACAATGCACCTGCGGGTGAGACACATGGCTAGAGTATTGCCTGTGTGGCAAGAGAGGAGCTCACTTCTCGGGAGAGAAGATGCTCTGTGCTGGCTGAAACTAAGCATGCCTGGGCCTAGTCTTGGAGGCCCTGGGCCCTCTTGCTGCTGGAAGGTCACATGGGAAGGTGGGGACCTGAGGGCAGGGCAGCTGGGGATTATAATGGTGTCCTTTCTCCAGCCATTTTCCTCCCCTTCGTGCGGCTGTCAGTGGGGCGGGTGGTAGATGGGAAGGTTCCAAGAACACAGGACTGAGCGTCCAGTTGGCTGCTTGGTCCTGTTGGCTCCTCCTCCCCTGATCACTGTAGGGAGTGTGCCACCTGGCTGTGGCATGCTGTGTGATGAGAACCAGAGACAAGGGTGGGCTTCAGATGAAATAGTCAAGGATGCTCCCATAAGCTCTGTAGGGGGACAGTGTTGTCTTTGCACCCACTCTGACCCCCAGGGGTAGAAGGCACAAGGCCACCTCAGCCTCTGGTGCCTTTACCCTGCATTTCAGATGCTCAGTACCTGGAGGTCTCGAGGCTCCTGCTGCCCCAGCTCTGTCTCCCTCTGTTGTTCTCTGCTGACTCAGAGTAGTGGCCCCCTTCCCTTCCTCCTTCCATCTGCCTGTTAGGCTCCTGGATGCTGCTGGGCATGTATGTTTGAGTCCTGTGTCTGCAAGTGATGAGCTGTGGGCTGTGTTTTGAATTGGGTGCTTGCCGAGAGATGGGGTATCCACGGGCCCTGTTTCTGAGCCATACTGTGTTCTGGTTCATGGTGGTTGACTTGCTTTAGCAGTTAGGTTTGAAAAAGACTCAGAAATAATGTTCCCTCCCCTCTCAGCTCCCTCCCTCCCTCAGGTCCCCCCTTAGCTGCAGCTGTTCTGACTGAGTTGGTGTTTGTTCTTCAATCCCCACTGTCTTCCTTGCAGCAGCTTTCAAGATCTTTCTCAATCCCTGACTTGGAGTGGTTGTAGAACGCACTTAGGTCTCCTGGGCTTTGTTTTTCCCGCTCCTTCCTTGGGGCCAGGCTGTTGACTTTGTGGTTTGGGTTTTCCGTGGTTTGTGTCCAGGCTCTGGTTCCGGGGCCCCGGCCCTGCCTCCCAGGCCTTGGCTTTCTCTCGTCTTTGTTGATCCATCCGGTAGCTTCTCTTGGTCTGTCTTCAAGCTCCCTCGTACCTTTGGCCTCTGTTGCTCCCATAGGCGTCTCTTTCGTCTGCAGAAATGGAACTCAGGCACTTTTAGGGGTGCCTGCAGCCCTGGGCGCCCCCCTCCCGCCACCATTTCTGCACCTAGCACAGCCTGTGTCGATTTCCCCTCCCTGCCCATGCCCCAGAAAGTCCAGGCATGAAGTTGGGGCAATGTGACTGCTCCTCCTGTGTCCCAGCTCTGCAGCATGCCATGCCCACTGACTGGTGGAGCTGGCAATCCCCTGCCCCACATAGTTCCACCTGCCCTCTGTGGTTCATCACCACAAGGTGGTGTCAGTTCTACTTGATGGAATTCACTAGAACCTGAAGACAACAACTAGTGTGGTCAGGCACTCCACGCCCCAGGAGTCTCTGGGTGCCAGCTGTGCCCTTTCTCTTGGAGGTCGTCGGGGCCAAGGTGGTCACCAACGCTCGCAGTCCTGGCGCTCGCTGCTATGGATTCATCACTATGTCAACATCGGATGAAGCCACCAAGTGCATCAGCCACCTGCACAGGACCGAGCTGCATGGGAGGATGGTGTCCGTGGAGAAGGTGAGGTGCCTGCTCACCCACAGCGATGCTGGGCAGCCACAAGCTTCTGGGTCATTATGTCTCATTATGTTCCAGGTCAAAACCGAGCCCTCTGGGAAGAAGCTGGCGGACAGCAAAGCCTGTGACACTAGGGAAAAACTGCCAAGAGCAGACAGGCTGCAGCCCATGGAGATCAAGACTGAGAAGTATGCTGACATGGCACCCTGCCCTGCAGTCCCCTCATTGCCCTTTTGTGCCCCGCATCTGGCCTAGTTGTGGGGTGACATGGCGCCTTGTCTGTATGCAGAGCAAATAGCACAGGGCTTCCCAACCAGACCCTCTCCTGGGGTAGAGGCCATGTCTTCCTGTTTTGTGTTCAGCACCTCTCATCTCAGCATCGTGACTTTCATGTCCCACAGACCAGGTCCACTCCAACCCTGCACCAGCTACACTCTGCAGCGTTGACCTGGAGGTGGTCGCCTGCACAGTGCCTGGCAGATGCTAGGCTCTGCCACACTGAAATCCCTGTGGTGCCCTGTAGTGCCTGGGTGTGACCCGGTGGCTCAGGACCATTTTTACCCAGGGCTGTGGCTTGGGTTTATAGCACAAACAGAACTGGGTGCAGACCTGGAGGATGCCTGGTGGCTTCTGCCCTGGTCACCATCAGGGCTGCTCTTGGGCAGGTGGGCTCTCATGATGTGTGTGGCGATGGCTAGACTGCAGAAAAAAGCCACCATGCATATATGGCGCTATCAGAAGCGGGGTGAGCTGAGCTGGAGCTCAAGATGAGCAGGCCGTCACGGCCTCATGTATGGGAGCAAGGGAGTCTCCACTCTGTCACCTGGGGCCTGTGCTGTGCAGTAGCCTGCAGCACCCAGGGGCCTGGCCCTGTGCAGACGAAACGGGGCTTGGGCCACAAGTCTGGAGGACTCACGGCTGAGCCCTCATAGGATACCCAGGAAATTGGGGTCCCCTCTTGGGATGCTCAGTTTACTCGTAAATGAATGTAAGAACAAAGACAAGTGGGGGTTGAGGACAGTGTCTTGGCATGCAGGGAAAGGCCCGGGGCAGGTGACCTGCCCTGCTGGGTCACTCCTAAAGGGACCTAGCAGGTATGCTTGCACTGTGTGCCTTTCCTTGAGGCAGTGCCTTATTGGCGTCTGTCTGTGTTACTGGCTGTGAGTGGAGACGCTCTAGGAAGACTTGGCTCTGCTAAGCTCTGGGAAGTTGGGTTTGGACAGTGTGTCGAGGATAGCAGTGGGATTTGCTCCAACCTTCCACACTCCAGTGTGTGATGATGGTGGGTTTTGTGTCCCTCTGTGCTCCCAGCATGATGGCTGGTCTTGGCCTATTTTGACATTGTCTTACTTTGTAATCTAGGTTGGCACTGAGCTCGAGATCTTTTCTTTTTTGAGACAGGGTCTCCTTGTAGCCCTAGCTGTCCTGGAACTCACTATGTAGACCAGGCTGGCCTCCATCTCAAGTGCTCGGATTAAAGGCGTGTACCACTACGCCCCGTGAGCTAGAGATCTTAAACTTCAGCCTCCCCCAGTGCTGGAGGGACAGGTTTACGACTATACTGTTAAAATTGTTTATTGTTAAAGAACTCTTAAGGGTGGATGAGAGGGCCGAATGTGCAAAGGTGCCTTAGTTCAATCCCCAGGACCCAGAGGGTGGAAGGAGAGGAGCAATCGCCTGTGAGCTGTCCTCTGACCTCTACATGTGTACCATGGTGTGTGCGCCCACACATAAGCACACATGGACACAAATTAAGGAAACAGCTGGGTGTGATGGCACACGCCATTAATCCTAGCACTTGGGAGACAGAGGCAGGCAGATCCCTAAGACCCAGGCCAGCTGGGGCTGTGTATTGAGACCCTAACTCAAAAACAACTTTTTAAAAACAGTCTTTGGCAGGCAGGAGTGCTGGCTCAGCAATTAACAACACTGGCTGCTCTTGCAAAAGACCCTAATTCAGTTCCCAGCACCCATATGGCACCCAATGATGGTTTGTAGCTCCAGTTCCAAGGAATCTGACATCCATTTCTGGCCTCTACAAGCATTGTATAACATGGGTGCACTTATATACATGCAGGCAATATACTCATACACATAAAAGTAAAATTAAAATTTTTTTTAAAATTTCTTTAGCTGGGAATGTTGTTGAGTGGACAGAGTGCTCGCCTGCATGCACAAAGCAAAGGGTTCCGTCCCCAAGAGCCCATGAACCGGGCGTGGTGGCACATGCCTGTCATCCCAGTACTGAGCAGTGTAGGCAGGAGTTCAGGGCCAGCCTCAGCCAGCTACACAAGTTAGTCTCAGTCAGTTGAGGAATTCTGGGTATAGCAGCACCCCAGTGCCCTTTGCAGCTTTAGCACATTCTGGGTAGGAGTCTGGAGGCTGATAGAGTGTGGGCACCGGTGTTAAGCTGTCTTCCCATGTTACATTGGTCAGGGTGAGCATCTGTGGAGGCCGCCATCATCCCCTGATAGTCTCACTGTGTGTTAACAGAACTGTGATCAAGAAGGAAGAGGGGGGGGGCAAAAAGCCTGAAGACATCAAAAAGGAGGAGGACCCAGATGAGCTGAGACCAGGTGCCGAGCGCTCTCGAGTCACCAAGTCAGGTGAGCAGGCACTGGCCGCCTGGCAGGTTGAGGGCAGGAAGCACGTTGGCGCAGTGAGGCCCATGAACTTCACTCTCTCCCGAGGCAGGTCTGATGGCACAGGCTGTTCTTCCAGCTATTCAGGATGCTGAGGCAGGGGGATTACAGTCAAGGCAGGTTTGAGCAGCTAACCCAGCTCCTGTCATGAGACCACAACAAAATGTACAAGGAAGACTGAGGACAGGCCGTGCTGGAGCGGACCAGCACCGCAGGAGGGGTTCTGTTCTGCCTGGAGGGACGGGCTTGGGGCAGGCAGAGTGTGGCTGTCCCCGTGTCCCCATCCTTGGGTGGCATGGAGCCGGGTCTGCAAGGGGAAAAGTGCTCAGGTGCAGGGCCACATGCACTTGTGGTCCGCTTTCAAATCCAGTCTCTCAAAGCTGGGACGGTACGTGCCATAGTGCAAATGGGCCAGGCATGGTACTGTGCCGCCATCCACTGCCCACGAGGCTGAGTCAAGAGTGGAGTTGGGGGCATCGTGGTGAGATGCCGTACAGATCCCAGCACCCGTTGCAACCCTTGCCTTTGTTAATTTGTCTATTTATTGCTTATGTACACACCCGTGTGTGTGGTGGCTGGGTGTCCCCTTGAGACACTCAAGACATGTCCACTCCAAGACCTGGGGGCTCCTAGGGGGTGAGGAGTGTGGGGGACTGTCCAAAGACCACACAACCACTGTTTGTTGCGCCAAAAACACTTGGGGGCCCAAGATAGAAACGGCATTGGGGCTGGGGAGTGCACACTCCAGATGCACTCATCTGTGCTTTTCCCACAGGAAGCAGAGGTGCAGAGCGCACAGTCGTGATGGACAGGTCAAAGGGCGAGCCGGTCATCAGTGTGAAGACCACTCGAAGGTCGGAGGACAGGGTGAGTACCACTTGCCCTCGGTGGGTTGGGCGACTATAAAGCCTAGAGGAACCCAGGATGCCCTGTTAAGCACAGAACACATCCTGACAGCCCCTGCTGGGTGCGTTGAGTGCTGGCCTGCTCCCAACCATTCTCTTTCCAGTTGGCTCTGGCCCTGTGCCAGATGAACCAAAGGAAAGGGAAGTAGGGCAGGGCCTCCGAGCAGCGTCAGGACAGCTTTTTACCTGGAAGCCTCTGTCCCGGTGGGCCCTGCCTGTAATGGGGGTGGTGGCCTACTGCCATGGCCCAACCAGCTTCACTGCATGGGCTCAGGGCTGCAGTGCCAGCTCTGTCCTGGAGGGCAGAGTGAGCCTGAGTCCCAAATAGATTCCTAGAACCTCACCGCCTGGAGGCCCCCTGTAAAGAGCACAGCTCCCAGAGGCCATGAGCACGCACTATAAGAACAGCACAGCCTCACAGTCCCTTTCCACACAGCATGCTGCCTCCTGAGTGCTGGGATTAAAGGCGTGCACCAGCATGCCAGGCTGTGGGTGCTGCTTTTTGTTTTGATTTCTTATTCAGATGGGGTCTCAGGTAGCCTAGGTTGACCTCAAAGTTCCTTTGTAGCCCAGACTGGCCTCAAACTCCTACTTCAGCCTTCTGAGTGCTAGGATAACAAGTGTGCACCTCCACGTCTAGTGTTTTAAGACGTGACCTTGGGGTTCTGAGTCTGTGGGTTATCAGGAGGCCCCAGGCTGGGGTTGCTGAGAAGTAGGGGTGTGGCCAACAGCATTTTGTGCCTTTTGGGGAGTTTTTTTTTTGTTCGGGTGTTTTTGTGGTGGTGGCCTTTAGAGGTGGCAGTTAAAAAGTGAAGCAGGCTCAGTCAGCCACCAGCTGTTGGAGCAGCAGGCCCAACAGAGCTCCCTGGAGACATGGGCCACATGGTCAGAAGTGCTACCTGTGGGTTCTGTAAGGTTCCAATAACTTCTGCAGATTGCAGTGGGGCGGCAGGTGGTGCCCAGGGCTAACACAGACCCCCTGCCTTCTGCAGCAACCATTTTTCTGTTTGGGCATTTTTATTTTTGTATGTTTTTGAGACTGGGTTTTGTGTAGCCCAGGCTGGCCTTGAACTTGGAGATCCACCTGCCTTTGCTAGGAGTAAATGTGTGTGCCACCGCGCCCAGTGGGATTTTTGAGGAAAGGTCCTGCAGTGTGTGAAGCGCAGGCTGCTGAGAACTCACTCAGCACAGACTGGCTGTCACTCGAGTCCTGTGCTGGGGTGGGGGGCAGAAATGCATGCCTATGGTCAGCTCTGTGTGAGAGTTAGAAGCAGCTCAGCCCAGATCTCCACAAACTCTGTTGGTTAAATCTCTGAAGAGCCTCCAGCAGTCAGGAGGCTGAGGCAGGGGGTGGTGTGTCCCAGGCCGACCTGGGCTCAAGCCAAGTCCTGGTGACTGAGGTGGGTGCTTGGCTGCCACCAGCTGGAGCCACGTGCAGCTACCTCTCCTCACTTGACTCCTTTCTGGTCTGCAGAGCTCCAACAGTCAGGACCGCAAGTCTGAGAGCCGGGAGAAGAGGGAAATCCTGTCCTTCGACAAGATCAAAGAGCAGCGGGAGCGCGAGCGCCAGAGGCAGCGGGAGCGTGAGATCCGGGAGTCGGAGCGAAGGAGGTGAGCGGGTGGGAGTGGGGCAGCCAGAGGCCTCATCCTGCTGGCTTTGGTGCAGGCCACCAAATGTGCGCGGAGGGAGGCGCCTGGTGCCTGCCAGACTCCGGCATGGCTGTGTCCCTTCTGTGGAGCACACGCCTAGGCCGGCCCGTGGCTGCGGTGACACAGGAACTCTGCTGGCCACGTGTCTGGCCTTCTCTGCAGTCCCAGCCACGGGTTCTGGCTTCTGTCTTAGAGCTCTGCTGGCCACCATCAGAATGTGAGGGACAGTGACACTCCCAGCACCCAGGAAGGCCTGGCCACCAGTCCCACCTGCATGTGTGTTGTGTCTGTGGCCCTGCGTGGGTGGGAGGCAGGACCTGTGGCTGGTGACCACTCGGGCCTTGGGGTTCCTTGAATGGCTGTGGCCTCTGGCCCTGACCACCGACAGCCGCGTGTCTGCAGGGAGCGGGAGCAGCGGGAGCGAGAGCAGCGGCTGGACGCCTTCCAGGAGCGGCGGGAGAAGGCGCGGCTGCAGCGGCAGCGGCTCGAGCTCGAGTGTCAGCGGCAGCGCCTGGAGCGGGAGCGGCTGGAGCGGGAGCGGCTGGAGCGGGAGCGCATGCGTGTGGAGCGCGAGCGGCGCAAGGAGCAGGAGCGCATCATGCGGGAGCGGGAAGAGCTGCGGCGCCAGCAGGAGCGGCTGCGGGCTGAGCAGGAGAGGCGGGCGCTGCGGCTCTGTGACCCAGATGCCAGGTGAGGCCTGTGCCCGCCCCGGGGGCACCAGGTGGGGAATACCAGGTGGACTACTACTGCGTCCGCTCTCTGTGTCCGCAGCCACGCTGTCCTTGCACAGCTGGGCTGCATGGTGGGCCGCTGTTCCCGGCTTCTTGGAGCCTTGTTGACAGGAGGCAGCTTCAGTGAACGCTGGAGTCACTTAGATGCCTGGCCGCACACCCTGGCCACCGCCTGCTCATTCCCTCGGCATTAGCAAAACTGCAGAAGCGAGAGGCAGAGGCTCTGGGTTGGTTCCCAGTATTGTGTCTACACAGGGATCAAGGCCTGGCCACCTATGATAGTTCACTCCCAGCAGCCCCCACCTAGGGTCCAAGACTAGAAGCCGCAGCAGTTGTCAGGGGTCACGATGAGCTCATGACCCCCAGTGAGTGTGGAGGTCACCTGCTCTGTGTCTGTGGCTGGTGTGGCATAACTGAGTTCTCACCCTGCACATAGGAGAGAGGATGCCTACTGGCCGGAGGGGAAGCATGCAGCCCGGGAGGACAGGTACTTCCCACGGCCTGAACACTTCCACGACTTTGAACATCAAGAGCGCAGCCAGTACCAGGGCCACGCCACAGACAGGTCAGTGCCTCACCAGCCTCTTGTAGTCTCATCCAGTGTAGGACAAGTGGGGCCCTGGCCTTCCCATAAGTAGAAGCTCCCTGGGGACTCTACAGGCCAGCTGGACATGTAGGCCAGGCCGCACCAGGACTTCCACACCCAGTCTGCCATGTCCGTGAGGACTCTGCTGCCCCCATGCCTCTGTGGGTGCTGGGCAACATTTCCTGGACACAGGTTATGGGGGGGTGGCCACCTGCCCTGGGCTCCTTGGGCACCCTCCTAGCTGGGCTTGACCATTGCACCCCACTATCCCTCGCTGGAGTCTCTCATACTGCTCTTGGGCTGCCAGCTCCCGCTGCCACCGTCGTCAGCAAGAGCAGGCTGTGGCTGTGTGACCAGGGGACTCAGGTTTGGGGTTCTGCCCTGGTTCCCACATGGCCTAGAGAGAAGCCCTCTGCTGGGGTGCTGCCTTCCCCAGAGCGTGGGAGCAGCACCATGCTTTGCAGGGCCGTTGTGGCTGCCCTGAGCTACCACAGCAGTACCCTGTCCTCTTTACAGGAGGGATGGCACCTGGCCAGCGATGGTCGAGCGGGATGGGCAGGTAAGTGGGGACAGGTGCCTCAGCCTGTGGCCCTGTGCTGGGGTAGGGACAGCGCACTAGCGTTGGGCAGTAGCTCCAGCTTACCCTGGTGTGCAGCCAGGTAGGGTTTCTGGGCCCAGGCTTCTTTCCAGGGACAGAAGACCATGTAGGTAGCCCTGAGCCTCCCAGGAGACGAAGGAAGAAGCAGCCCTGAGAATCCAGCTTGGGTCCAAGTGGTAGGGTGGTCCTGAGTGTCCCCTAAGCATACTGTGTCACCCTGTCAACCTCAGGAAGGCTGGGACTCGTGTGTTAGCAAGGTTCTGGGTGACAGCGAAAGGGTGGGTGGGGTGTGCAGAGGGTCAAGTTCCCTCACTGCAGGCCGACCTTGGGGTGGGGCAGGCAGGGGCCCAACACAGGGATGGTGTCAGCCTGTGGGTTGCACAGGCCCCCAGGAGAGCATCGCCTTGTCCCTCCGGTGCCTTCCAGCACTACCTAGAGGATCGCCTCAGCTTGGACTTTCGTGACGGCTGGGGTGTCTACGGATCCGACAAGAGGATGAGTGAAGGCCGGGGTCTGCCCCCTCCCCCCAGGTGGGTGCCTCTGCGGGAGCCTTGATGGCTTGGGGTGCTCAAGCTAGCAGTCCCAACTTGGGATGGCAGGGAAGTGGGTCCCCTGGGTGTGACGTCCCTTGCCCATCGTGCGGGCCAGGATGCCTGTATCCCCACTGCCCTCTGGGGAAGATGGCAGGTGTGACCTGAGGCCCTTCTGCCTGTGCAGAGGCGCTGGGCTCTGTTTGGTTTGAGGCCACTGTCACTGTAGAGCCCTGGCTAGCTGCTGCACAATCCTGCCTCTGCCTCCAGGTACTCCCTGCTGGGGAGCTGGTACATGGATGCCAGTGTCAGCCTTTCATACCCCCAAATGCTGTCACCTCTGAGCAGCTGCAGCTCACTGCACCCAGACCCCACACCCACAGTCCCAGGCTGCTGCTGGATCCCACACTGTGGCCATGTGTCTGGGTTTCCCTGAGTACGTGTCCTCGCTCCCTCTACACCATGATGTTCCCCTGGCTGAGCACCGTACCATGGGTGTCCCATGTGCCCATTGGTCTGTAAAGTGGACGTGCTGTTTTTGCTCTGGCCGCCATGTGTCTGTTTAGAGTGCTTTCTGTGTGCCAGGGTGGACCCCAGGTGTAGACCACTGACCTGGCTGGGACTCGCTGTGGCTCCTTGGGCTCCAGCGTGTGACAGCTGCCTTGCTGGGTGGCTGCGTTTCCCTGCTGGTGCCTGACACCTACGTTGCCCACTCAGCCACTCATCTTTGAAGCTGTGCCCCTTGGGTCACCTGCCCCTCCCCCTGGAGCCAGAAGCTTGGAGCTTGCATCCTCTTGTGACCAGAGCATGTGGGGCCAACCGTGTGTCACTTTCTGTTTGGCAAAGGGGCAGCCGAGAGTGGACAGGGCATGACCCACGGCTAGGGGAGCAGCAGGTGCCCACATGGAACGGCACTGTGGACATAGGCGCGCCGGGCTATGAGCCTGTGCGGTGGCAAGGTACTGGGAATGGAGGAGGCCAGAGGGGAGAGGCTGGGATGAGGGGGCCCGAGGGACAAGATAGAAATGAAGGTTGGCCGTTTCCCCTGCAGGTGCTGAGCGGGGTCTGCCGGGGCCTGCAGGGCCAGGACACGCAGCGGCGGCCCGGGGCGGTGTGGCCGGGTAAGAGAACAGCGCTGCCGCCTCCCTCCCTCTGCGCTCACGGGTGGCATTGGCATCGGAGTGAAACCCACGGGCCCTGTACCCTGTGCAGAGGGCACCTGCGGTTACCCGGCAGGCTGCGGGCACCAGCACAGCCCACAAGAACGCTGCCTTTGTTCCTAGGCGAGGAGGCTTTGCACATGGTGGACACGCCCAGGGCCACCTGGTGCCCAGTGGTGGACTGGAAGTTGGTGGTGTGGCTGACCAAGACCGGGGCCGAGTCCCGAATCCCCACCCACACCCCAACCTGTACCCACACTTTACCCGCCGCTACTGAGGCCTGCGCTGCTCCGAAGCTACGTGGCTCCGGGTCGGCCAAGGCTGCCAGCCCAGCCAGCTTGCTCAGTGTTGAGCTTGGCTGGTCGGCGTGAACTCACCTCTCCCTGGTTTTTTAATAAATGTGTTTCTGTCCTGCTGTTTGTAACACACCGTTTTTGTTAACAAGACATACCATGTCCCTTGATAAACATCCAGGCTCTCAGGCATGTGTAGGTGGGGAAACTGAGGTACAGGCCCTGCTTTTCTGCCCCAGCTCCTGGATCTGGAGGTGGCAAACTGGAGACCAGAACTGGGGAGTTGGCAGAGACTAGGGTATCCCAGGCCCGCCCCACTGGCCCCCATTGCAAGGTTGGGGGTCAGGACAGGGTCCTCAGATTCACCTCTGCCCCTGGCCCTGGCCCTGGCCACAAGCTGAGTGCTGGGTCACTGGGTCCCCCGCTTCGGCTGTCTGACTCATGCCCGGAGCCACTGACCCACTGGCTGCTGAGGGGCATCCGGGCTTCCACTTCTCAGCTGTCACCCCAACAGTTGGGACACCAGGCAGCAGCACAAGTCCAGGCTAGCCTGGGCTATGTAGGGAGATGCCTACACAAGGCAAACTACTAGGGATGTGGAGATACCTGCTCCACTGTGGGGACCTTGGGGACACAAGCTGCACGTTCCACCCCAGTATGTCCACAGCTGACAGAGCCACAGACACAGGAAGCCGGGTGGAGGGCACCGGGAGCCAGAGTTACTTGCAGTGCAGTCAACGGCTTCAGTGTGATTAGATGGAAGGTTCTGGAGCTGGATAGAGGAGTGGGCTGCACAGCCCTGTGAATGAGCTGGTGCTGAAAATAAAGGGTGATTTTCATGTTTGGTGCATTACATACAGCATGTTTGTAATGCGGGGGACCGCTGGGGACCCAGCCCAGGCTGACCCCAAACTCCAGATCCCGCTGGAACCTTGTCGGTGCACAGCTTGCGTGCCCAGCCTCAGCCTTTTCACAACCCCTTCCCAGCACTAGTCCACTCTGCTGCCTGTCACGGGGCTGCTCTCTGTTTCTTCAGCCTTCAGCACAGCCCAGGCTGAGCTTGTTAGTTTTTCCTCCCTGCCTTCTCCCCATTTGCTGACCACCCAATCCACCACAAACTGCTTCACAGGCTCAGAAATCACTCTGTGGGTTTGCTTCAGACCACCTGGGGGACTCTAGACCGGCACTCGGCTCTGAGCCACGCCCCCAGCCCCTCACTGGGGATTCTAGACTCACTCTACCCCTGAGCCATGCCCCCAGTCCCTTACTGGGGAATTCTAGGCTGTCACTCTACCCCGAGCCACGTCCCCAGCCCCTCACTGGGAATTCTAGGCCGTCACTCCACCCCTGAGCCACGCCCCCAGCCCCTCACTGGGGATTCTAGGCACCCCTGAGCCACGCCCCCAGCCCCTCACTGGGGATTCTAGGGTGTCACTCTACCCATAGCCACGTCCCCAGCCCCTCACTGGGGGTTCTGGGCAGGTTCCAATTCTGAGCCATGCTCCAGCCCATCATTAGGTGGTTCTAGGCAGAGACTCTACCCGTGATCCACACACTCAGTTCCTCACTGGGTGATTCCAGACATGGGCTCTACCCCAGAGCCATGCCCACAGCCCCTCCCTGGGTAATTTTAGGCAGAGGAATTTGCCTCTGAGATATGCACATCTCACATTCCCAGAGAGGGAACAGCATTTGTGGGAGCCCCCAGGAAAGACAGGACAAGTGCCTTGGAGGGACAGAGCAGGCAGAAGTTATTGGGACTGTGTCAGCATGGGCTCTGCTCAGCCTGAAGGCACTGGGGAGCCACAGAAGGTTTTAGCTTCGGAGGGGAGGATTCAAGGGTAACTCCCAGTATCTCTCTGTGCACGTCCCTCCCCCGGGGTCCAATTCCCCAGTGTAACGAGGGAGGATGAGCTCACAGGTCAGGCCCTTGATCTTAGGGTTCTCAACCCCAAGACCAAACCTGGGCTACAGAGGCAGACCCTGTCTCAGGAAACAACTGGGCTGGGACCAGGGCTGTGGGCAGAGCACAGGAGGCCCTGGGTCCATCCCCAGCACTGCATAAATCAGGCGTGGTGCTGCACACCACAACCAGCACTTACCTGGTCGAGGCAGGAGGAGGATAAGGACTTCAAGGTTAGCCTGGGTGACAGCTAAACTATCCCCAGAATCAAATAAATGTAAGTTTGCTTGTGATTCTCAGATGTGCCTCTGCCCCATATTGCCAACAGGTGGCACCTGAGAGCTGCTCTCTGGGTCCAGCGTCCTCTGGTCCCTCTGCAGGCTGCCTCCATCTCACTGGCCTGTTACATGGGATCCACCGAGTCCCTGGGTCAGAGTGGCACCTGGCATGGAGCCTCCGCTGGGATCCAAGGTCTCTAGATGCCCCTAAGTCCAGGCTGGGGTTTGGGCTGAGCCAGCCTCATGATCAGGAGTTTGTGGTCATCCTTGGCTACATAGTTTGAAGCTAGCCTGGGCTACATAAGACACCCCCTTTTTTTTTTTTTTTTTTTTTTTTTTTTTTTTTTTTTTTGCTAAGAGACAAAAACGGCCATGGAAACAGTTTGCCACCAATCCTGACAACCTGAGTTTGATCCCTGGGATCCACATGGTGGAAGGAGAGACCTGAATCCCTCAAGTTGTCCTCTGACCTCCACCTAAATAAATAAATAATAAATAAATAAATAAATAAATAAATAAATAAATAAATGTAATTTTAAAATAGGAAATGCAAGGCCTGGTGGGACATGCCTTTAATCCCAGCACTCAGGAGGCAGAGGCAGGTGGATCTCTGAGCTCAAGGCCAGCCTGGTCTACATAGTGAGTTCCAGGACAGCTGGGGCTACAGGAAGACCCTGTCTCAAAAAAAAAAAAAAAAAAAAACAGAAGAGAGGGCTGGAGAGATGGCTCAGCAGTTAAGAGCACTCAGGTTCGGTTCCCAGCACCAACATGGCAGCTAACGACCATCAGTATCTCCAGTTCCAAGGGCTCCAACACCCTCTTCTGGTCTCCACAAGCATTGTACAACATGGGTGCACTTTACATACATATGACAAAATGCACACATTAATTTTTTTAAAAACCAACAAAATTGTTGTTCTGCACAATGAAGAACTCTGGGGATCTAGAGAAGGTCAAGACAGTCAAGAACAATTTTCCAAGATATGCTAACCTGCCTTCCTTCATATGTAAAAAGCACTCCAGAAAGCTGGGTATGGTGGCGCACGCCTTTAATCCCAGCACTTGGGAGGCAGAGGCAGGTGGATTTCTGTGAGTTCAAGGCCAGCCTGGTCTACATAGTGAGTTCCAGAACAGCTGAGGCTACAGGGAGACCCTGTCTCAAAAAGACCAAAAAAGAAAAGCACTCCAGAAGCAATAACAACCAACAGTAGACGAGAAAATGGGTGAAGGATTTGAATGACTTTTTTTTTTTTTTTTTTTGAGACAGGGTCTTCCTGTAGCCCCAGCTGTCCTGGAACTCACTATGGAGACCAGGCGGGCCTCAAACTCACAGAGATCCACCTGCCTCTGCCTCCCGAGTGCTGGGACTACAGGCGTGCGTCACCACACCCAGCTTGAATGACTTTTTAAAAAATTTTTATTATTTTTATTTTATGTGTATGCATGTATTGCCTGCATGTAGGTAAGTGCACACGTGTCTTACAATGCCCGAGGAGGGCAGAAGAGGCTGTCAGATCCCCTGGGACTGGAGTTATGGACAGTTGTTAGCTGTCCTGTGGGTTCTGGGATTCGAACCCCAGTCTTCTGCAAGAACAGTCAGTGTTCTTAACCACTGAGCCATCTCTCCAGGCCCCTTGAATGACTTTTTTCAAAAAGGAAATGCAAATTTTGTTCCTACAAGTTAGGAATTTGGCAATCACATGGTCCAAGCTTCCTGACTCCTGGAGCTCAGGGGTTACCTGAACTTATTGCCATTGACTTGGGTCTTTCTTGATTGCCTAAAATATACTACAGTTCCTCCCAGGAAGACAGCATGATCACGACAGGAGAATAGCCCAGGAAAGGGAACCTGTGGCCCATCACCAGTAGGCTTCTTGTCACTGTTTGATGAGAAAGTTAGAACTACTTGGAACTGGAACCTAACACCAGCTCAGTGGCCCTGTGTCGTGGTCTTCATCTGCTTGCAGTGGATGTCCCAGGCCTCCCTCATGACAGTGTAGTCTCGGGGGTGGTGGGCGGGGTCACAGGCACCTGCTCCTGCAAAGGAAGCCAGCCACTTACCTTCCCTGGAGAGAGCGTGTGGTTCCCCACAGGGCCTCAGTTTCCCAACTGTGTGCCCAGAGCCAGTCTCTGCAGGTTGAGTGTTAATGACCTGGTGGATGCATGCTGAGTTGACTGTTCACATGTGAATCCCCACACAGGATAGGCCTGGTGACAAGCATCAACAGCTGTCTTGAGACAGCATGTCATTCCATACTCCATGGACCAGTGGGTAAGATGGCTCAGCCTCAAATACCCAGCACAGTGAAATGATACAGGGCTGGGATTCTTCAAGGATATGGAGGAGGCAAGTGACTATGTAGCCCAGGCTGGCTTGGATCTTGCCATCTGACTCAGCCACCTGAGTGCTGGAACCGCATGTGTGTGTGTCCACAAAGGCTAATCCCATTCATCCATCCCAACAAGAGAGTGAGAGAAGAGCATTCAATGACAGTTCCCACTAATGACCGTCAGCCCAGGAGAGACCAAGCTTCATTCTCTACAGCAAGAAGGGGGTCATGGGGCTGGGAGCAGGGCTCAGGGGTAAAGTGACCACCTAGAGTCCCCAGGGAGGGGCTCAGCCTTAACACCTGTCTTGCTTGTGCCAAGCTCTAGCTTCTATTCCTAGCACTCCCAAAAAATATTTTTATCTTTATTTTATGTGTATGTGTGTATTGCCTGCATGTAGGTAAGTGCACCCATGTCATACAATGCCCTCGGAGGTCAGAAGAGACCGCTGGATCCCCTGGGACTGGAGTTACGGACAGTTGTTAGCTGCTATGTGGGTGCTGGGATTCAAACCCGGGTCTTCTGCAAGAACAACCAGTGTTCTTAACCACTGAGCCATCTCTCCAGCTCCCCAAAAAATGTTTTTTATGTTTTAAATTGAAGATACACCCTTTTCAAAAAC